TACCAATTTGTAACCCTATTGTTACTATACTAGTCATCACTCCATATCGAGTGACTTTCCTCCGGTGGTTGAAATACTTCGGATGTGTGTTCTGCAATACCAATTCTACCTTCGTACAGGGTTCTGTTACCGTGCAGACATCGAAAATGTAATTAATTTTGAACGGCAAAAATTATTAATTTGGCTTAATTTAATAAATTATTAGTTATTATTGCCAGTATTTTTTTCAGACTTTTTGTGTCAAAATATAAAAAAAGTCAAAATTACATTTAGTATACAGTGGAACTCTTGTATAAAGAATCGCTAGGGAATTTAAAATCTGGGGCCGATAAACAATCATTCCCCCCAGGCGCAAAATCATTCCACACAATGTTAAGTTGAACTTAACTTGTACTAGTCCAGAAGGTTTGGCATAGGTGCGGGTTGGCAACGACCCAAGTATTGCAGCTGATGAGACCATCGCGCGATGAGGGGATGGAGAGGGAACCGGCTGATGGCCTGGCAACTTGGCTCGAATGACGATTTATGAGGAAATGGGTCGCTTTTATAGGGATTCTTTGCATAAACTTTGAAAGTGTAAACCTCGTTTTGAATAATGAATAGACTTTCAAAGTGCAATAGGAAAGTGACTAACATGGGAAGGTACTTAAATCAGAAATCGACTTTGGGACGAGACCTATATATTCTGAAAGCTCTGTGCTCACTGAGTACGAATCTGAAAGCCGTTTTTCCGTATGGCTCTTCGTTTTCAAGAAAATCGACGTTAAAGGTTACCCAAATCGCATTAAAAAGCGCTCCGCAAGGCTCTTGCAAAAAACGAAAGAGAAGCAAGTAGCGGCATGGCGCAGAGGTAGAGCGCTTGCCTTCTTTTAGAGCGCTTGCCTTCTTTTTATGGTTTTGACCATGCAGGTTCAAATCCGGGCAGTCTTGTTTCATTTTGCAACAAGTTTCAAAAATTTTGGAAGACTATTTTAACTGCAAAAATGTAATCATTTTTGTTAATTTCTTTTTAAAATAATTTTTATTTTTATTTAAACTTTAAAATTAATTCTTTAAAAGTTTTGGCGCTCATCCAGAATAGCCCCCCCCTACCCATAGCATTTCAACCTCCCACCGACGTCAACCAGAACATACACCTAAAATTCATTTTCAAAAAGCAAATTGAAAATTTCTTTTTCTGCTCTTGCGATTTCTTACATAAATTTCAATTCGAATAAAATTTTAAAATAATAGTTCTATTTTATTTCGCAACACCCAGTGCAGGTAGCACCCCCACCCACTGTAGATCGCACCCCCGCCCACTGTAGATCGCACTCTCATCCAATGTAGTTCACACCCGCCATTCACCGCCATGGCCAGTCAGTACAACAGCACTGTCTCGCGCGACCCTCAACCTTCAACTCCGGAAATTGGCGATATGGCAATTTTGATTATTCAAAATAAAAATTGCAAAACGATTTAATGTTTCGTTATGATTTGCATAAATTTGCATAATTGAAACTTGTTGCAAAATAAAACCAGATTGCCCGGAGTCGAACCTGCATGGTTAAAACTTGAAGGCAAGCGCTCTACCTGTGCGCCACGCCGCTACTTGCTTCTCTTTCGTTTTTTAGCCTTTGCGGAGCGCTTTTTAGTGCGATTTGGGTCAAACTTTAACGTCGATTTTCTCGAAAACCAAGAGCCATACGGAAAAACGGCTTTCAGATTCGTACTCAGTGAGCACAGAGCTTTCATAATATATAGGTCTTGTCCCAAAGTCGATTTCTGATTTAAGTACCTTCCCATGTAAGGGTTTTCTAAGTGTGGGGCATGACAGTAATACAGGTGGGGCATGATAGTAATACAGGGGAGGAGTTCGTTATAAAGGAGTTTTACTGTATTTGTCGATTAGCACTTAAATTCTACTTTTTCTCTTTTTCTTTGACAATAGTTGAGTAACACGGTATCAGCACATAAGTAACGCCCGCATAAATAAATTGTCCAATTAATGTGGGTATGACTAGCGAGGTTACCAGATTATTCTAGTGTAAAAAAATATGGTAATTTCATCCCGTTAAATGTCGTAAATAAGTAATTAAAGCGTAAAGCTTTAGTCATTTGTGACTAAGCTCAAGGATACAACAACAATCATTAACTTAAGTAACACTGTCAATAAGTTTATATGTAGACTTTTGGTGGCTTTAAGTCCGATATAATTATTATGTTGGGCATAATCTCTCATAACATTATCATTAATACTTTCACTAGCACTTCTTTTACTGTCGGTGTTAGTTTACCTATTACCGTAACTTTTGTTTCCTCATCACTACAGTAAATGTCGTATACAGAAGTCTCGCAAGTTTATGGTCTTTACATATGGGAAATTTTAGAAGACGAAAAGGATGAAAGTTATGAACCGTACCACGAAAATACTGTATTTCATAATGCGGTAGATGTAGTTTATCTTATAAGTTTTGTATTAGGTGGTGTGTTTTCTGTGGCGCTCGTAGTGTTAGTACTCCGCCATACTACAGGAATTTTTATGCCGTACAGACGAATGTTGCTTCTATGCTGCACTTCAGATACTTTATTTTGGTTTTTCAATGGGTTGAATCATTTTGTGAGTTTGTTTCCCTTTTACAGTACAGCAATAGAGTTATAAGCTAGAATTCTGTGTCTATAAAATATAAAATCATAAACAACTGTAGAGAGCTCGAGAGAAAAACGGTGTTATTTTGATCACTCCAGAAGGTGTGGCGAAGTACTTTAACTATCATACCGCAACTTTCATGTGTGGTGTATATACGTGGAGTCTTATGTTGAGCCAGGCCATCCTACCAGCGCAAGCGTTTTTCCGTTATAACTCTCTTATTACGTAAGTCTATCACCTTATTTTACTCTACTTGGCTTTACCTTACGGTAGCAAACTATAAACTTTTTAGAAAAAGATTAATGGGTCCAAGCGAAACTTTTATTTTATTTGTCATATCTGCGATTGCGAGCTTACCTTGTTCTTTCTTAATTTATCTTGCTTATGAGTTTTCGGGAACAGCTAAACCGAGTTTCAATTATGGTACGTATTGGTATGCAGAGGAAAATTTACCTATGGTTTTGATTTGTGACTCGGTAAGCCATAATTAAACCGTGAAAGACCTGTATAACGAACTTCTCTGTAACGAAAATCTCGTATAACGAGCAAATTTTTAATCGCCGCCTGCCACTGCACAGTGCATTTAAAACTTTTGTATAACGAAACTCCTGCATATGAAGCAAGTTTCAAGTCTCCGAGCGATTCATTATACAAGGACTTCGCTGTTTGTTGTTACATGAACAGCGGTTTGTAAGACGCATTTTACTTTTTTCCCGTTGATGATGTACTTTTAGCAAAGCATTTGGGTAAAAATCTGTTTTCCTTCGATATTGTTTTTTTCGTCCGCATCGTTCAACTTGTCGGTATTTATTGCTTGGAAAACTATACGGTATTTGAAAGACAACATTCAGTTTCATTCGGCTCAGACGTTGAGGTTACATAACAAGCTCTCAAAGTGCTTATTATTACAAGTAAGATAATGAAACATTTAAGCCAAAAACACTGTAAAGTGATAATGAATTGCTCGTACTGACAGACACGGGATATAGTAGAAATTGAAAAAGGTTACCTTATTTTCAGAACATTATTCCATTGCTCATCTCTATAGGACCAGTTTTTATGTTAGCAGCTTCAGTTTTCACTGAAGCTGACATGAACGAATCAGCAACAGTGGCCTTCGTAATTTTGAATTTGATACCAATTTTTAACCCTATTGTAACTATACTAGTGATCACTCCATATAGAGTGACATTCTTTGGTTGGTTAAGAAATATTGGATGCTTGTGCTGCAATGCCAGGGCTTCCTTCGCACAGGGCTCAGTTACTGTACAGACTTCGAAAATGTAAGCAGTTGTAAATGGCCGAGAATTATCTATTTGGTTTAAAATGTTATTAAAGGTTTATTTAAAGTAATACATATAATGTAATAAATATAAATTCTTAGTTATTATTACTAGTATACAAGAACAATGCTTTTTAGCCAACATTAAAGAAAGCCAATAGAAAAATGAAATTTAAAAAAACTGTGTTTTCTGTCATTTTGTTAACGTAGTCTTTATCGCTTTTAATAAAACCTCTGGTAGGCTTTTCTCTAAACTAAGTGTAATGACCATACTACAAAACTCCAGTTAATATATTGGTACATTACATGTGTCTTCTACTTTTTCCTCTTTTTCTTTGACAAAAAACTGGGAGACATAATATCAGCGGCCAATGCTGACTCTGTGAAGATAGATGGACTTAGAAAATAAGGGTTTAGCACAGCACCGGAAAGTAGCGTAGGTGAAACTACATCAGGGCATAACATATGCGGCGATCTGAAAAGTGTGGTTTTGGTTTTGTTTTAATTTTTTTAAAAGTGTAAGTTAAGGTAGGATAGTTAATTTTACCTATGAACAAGGCCGGGAGGGGACTTTTGGCTTGGGGACGGGGGTCGAAAAAATCGGCACGGGTCCGAAAATTCACAGGGGGTTCAACACGTTATAAAAAACTCACAATATGATAGGAGACATTAAGTAAGGGTTAACGACGTTTGGAGCAATGAAATATGGCGATAGAAGATACACCTCAAAAATGGCAGCCGATATTACGTTTGGTGATAAAAAATATGGCGACCTATAAAATTTTTAATTACGGTAAACATTTTGAAAGTTCACAACCTACTGGTACAACTGTTGAATTTTAAAATTAGTTTTAGCATTTTTGTTACTTACAAGACCAGTGGAGATCCAATACTAGGGGATAAAGTAGGCGGCGATAACATAAACGGTGAGATAATGGCAGGTGAGAACAAGTTAGGAGATAATACTGTAGGACCAAGGAACGAGGGCTAAAATTTTTTTTATTTTTAGTTGGTTTTTAAAAACAATTGGTAAATGACTAATATATACCGAAACAATTCCAGGACCGAAAGAAAACGGTGCCAATACTGTCAAACTTCTTTTTTCCTTGTATGTTTACTCTTTGGTACGTCATCAGCCAACCTTCTTAGATCATTAATTAGCAACTTTTCTTTCTCTCTGTTACTCATTCTTTTGTAATCATTAACACCATGACGGTGCAACGTGGAGTTCAGCATTCCACCATGTCCATAGATAAAGTCCAACTGACGGTCGTTCATAAAAGTATATTTTTGTTGTGCCAGCTCACGACGTTGGTGATGTGTTAACATTCCTTTAAATTTGTCGAACAGTTCATCCATGCCTTGTGTAACCTGATCAACGTCTTCTAACAAACTATCACTCTGGTTACTTTTGAAAATTTTGAAAGCATCTTCGACAATGGTTTGAGCGCCGGACATTTCCATAATCAATTCAATGATAGACTCCCGGTCATCGGCTTTAAGGCCAGTTGAGTCGATTATGTCTGGTAAAGGGAGAATATTGTTTTCGGAATCGTCTTTGTAGAAGGGCATGATGTTTGGAGAAAACAGGTGGCTAGAAAATGGCAAAAATGAAGCGAAATTGGGCAATGCCTACCGTAAGAATATAAATTTTTTTATTTTTTTGAGAATGGTGGTTTTTGGGGAGTTGCGAAAATGTAAGTGTTTATATTTTTAAATTTACTGTTTTTTTTTAAATTCCCCTCGTCCTCGCTTCGGTCCATTGCCGCAGTTCCTGCTTCCGCTGGAATTTTATTTATGGAAATTTTCCCTCTCCCCCGGCCCTCGCGGGTATCTCCCCCCCCCCTCCCCCCCCCCTCCCGTATTTTGTGTAGAGGTACGGACACAAAAAACAAAAAAAAATTTTTTAGAAAAATTGGAAAATTGGTTCACTACCTGTGGGCCAAAAAAAAATTTGACCTTTACCCCCACCCCCTCTTCCCCTACAGAAAACGCGTAGCGACGTCCCTGTGTAGACATATACAACAACATCAACTTACGCGGTGTTTCCTTTTGCATGATTGTTGATTAAAGGCATGAACCTTGGTGATAAGATTTTTGTATTCAGCACGTCGCCATGTTTTTCTAATGTGTCAGCCAAATCAAACGCTCCTTTCAATACTTTTGGCATGTTGTCAGACGTCGGCATTAGATTCCTAAAACGTTTTGTAAATGGAATCTTTTTCCGTAACAACGGGTCATAGTCTGTTACAATGTCTTTCAAATTTGCGCCGTATGTGGACTGGTTTTTTGAGCGGCTGGACATCTCGTTTAGCTAAATTAATATGGAATTAATTTTTAATTTTCAAATTAGTAATTTAAAAGATTCAATTTTAAAACTAATTTCACATAGGTGTTTTACAGGGTGTTCCAAGAAAAATGTTAAAAATGTTTAAAAATTAAAAGCCGAAGAAAATGAATAGAAAAACATGTTTTTTAATTTATTTTGTAAATTGCACAAATAACTTTTAAAATTTGAACGTATTTCATTTTTTACTGTACATAAAAACAAAAAGTCTAACAACATACAACATTTGATATATTTGCTGTTAAAATTAATGCTTTTCGTTCCACATCGCCAAGTTATGTTTGAATAGAGTTATAGCCTCCGCTGATTAATTTCGGTGTCCGCCGAGTCTCCGCCGACATTTGAAAATTGAAAACTTGGCTAAAAATGTCATTTTCAACCAAAAACTTGTCAAAAACTTTTAAAAATTTGACCAAAAAAGCATTTCCAACTGAAAATATGTGTAATTCCGGGGAAAATGGACATTTTTAAAAAAATCATAACGTTCTTATTATGCACTTAAAAAATATAAAATTTCATGACAAAAAACTTGTGGGTCCAAGCTTTCACCATGCCAAGTTTGGCATGGGTAGCTTTGTTGGAAAGAAAATAATAACTTTTTAACATTTTTCTTGGAACACTCTGTAAAAGATTTCAAATTCGTACCGTACGAAGAGTATCAGATACAGATCTGTAATACGGCCGCTTTTCGACTACAGTTGAAATTAAATTGGTAATCCGTTTCACCGGCGTTTTTTCGTCTTTTGAGCTTATTAATGCAGGCGGTTTGTCCACCGTCTTAACGATATAATCGGTCAGCCAGCTCTCGTAATGTTTTTTCGATTCTTCTTCTGTCATCATACGAAGGTTGAACCGTTCTTTTTGTTTTTTACTGGAAAACATTGATCCTTGCGTTAATTTTTTTTTGTAGTTTTTGATGCGGTTAAAATTTTATGTTTCAGGTTTCAAATCTCATTTTAAATTACGGAAAACCGCAATAAATCAGACATTTTGTGCTCTCGAAAACGTGTTTCCATTTTAACAACCAAAAAAGGTCAAAGCGATCATTTAACGTCTGACATCTTACCGTAACGTTTGTTAATACATAGTTTTTTCTGCACTACAGTACTTTTCCAACGCACTTTTTTGTTATAAACAAGGCTTAGGGGCTATGTAAAAGGAGTTTAGATAGCATGGCGCGTGGCTAATGAAAAAATTTTGTAAAGGTGGTTACTCTAGCACAAGTAGATAAAAGTTTTAAAAAAATTGGATTAACTTACTAATTTTTGTAGATTTGAGTCAAAGCAGCAACTCTTTCTTTGCTTTCTTCTCTTTTGTGCCTTTTGTGTTGTTCTTCACTTGACTCGTTCATTGTTTCCCTTTTCTTCAATTTTCTTAACCTTTTTGAGGTAATAGTCTTGTGTAGATTATGTCGTATGATAAACGTCTTTAGTGCGTTGGGCTTAGTAGGATTGGTTGATCCTAAAATAATAGTTATTTAGAAAATAACTTTTTAAAAAATTCATTTTTACTGAAATTTAATTTTTTTGTAAATTTCGATTTTAACCTAGAGCCTTACGCTTTTTTCTGCGATGTCTATTTATAACGTGCAATGTTTTATCATGAGCATGCACTAGGCATTCCGCTCCAGGTTGAAGTGAGTTTTCGTCTCCTCCGTAATCTAAGCAATGTAGGAAAGCGCGACGTTCAAATCTAAATTTTGACTAATAAGTAATGTGATTGTATCTGGTTACCGTTCACAACGTATTCCAAAATAAACCGTATTTCAAAATAAAGTAACGTATTTCAAAATGAAGTAAAAGTGGGCTTAAACATTACCTCTTCATGTTCAAATACATTTTTCGTCCAATAGCTCCCATGACTGAGTGGACAGCTTGGATGTACCATATGTCATGAACTGTTTTGGCCCGTTCATATTCTTTCGCGTCCAGTCTTACTTCTTCAATTGCTTTTTTCTTTTCTTCGGGAATCTTAGCAACTGCTACTAGCGCTGTTAAGAGTAGTATCCATACTAAAAATAAATAAATATTATATTAGTTTGCATAGTTGTATTACTACCATAACTATAGTTTACTTTCACAGCACTACTATAATTAAGGTCTTAAAACACTTTGGCACTCAAGTAAACGGGTAGAAATTGTCGTTGTTATCATCGCGCATATCTTATTTTAGCACTATGTCAGTGTTACGGTAGCTTGACATGTTTAAATCTATATGTTTGTAAAATTGTAAAACGTTTAGTTGTTAAAAGCAAAGAACAAATTAAAACATATAAAATGTTGAAAAACTTACAGTATCCTGAAACGTGCAGCTCATCTGTTCTAAAGCGCAGAATTATTTCAACATTTGACGCACTTTATGGGTTTCTCTTTAGCCGCTGATTCCTTCAAATGTTTTGACAACTCTTCCTTTTTATTTTATGCCTTTTTATCTTTCGACACTTGAACTCGACTTTTCCGTATTTTCCGTATATCTCAACGAAATCGTGGATCATTTTCGGAAATAGCGCGCGATTTTGATAGGGTAGAAACAAAGTTTACTGCACAAGATATGCAAACTACGACGAGTGGAAAGTAGTCATGTTAAAGCATATAGCGGAGGACGGAAGGCAGTAATAGGAGAGAACTCTGGTCGCGAGTTCAACTGTCAAAAGTCAAGCCCGAAGGCGGGGTTTTAAATAGTATAAGGTGGAAAAGAAGCTTAACAAACCTTACGATAAAAAAAAATTACATAACGTACAATGACCTCATAAATAGTAACAAATTGGAGGTAAAGTAACAGAGGGTAAGGGCGAATAAAACTTAGTTCTATCAATTTTTTGGGAAGGTATCAAATCAAATTACGTTGTCGCCCGGCACAGACGAAACACGTTTTTAGTTAGATCATAAAGTCTTAAAAAAAGTTTGGAAAAAGGTTAGGTTTAACCTTTTAAGCTTTACATGTTGTTATTATATCTATAGGGCCGGTCGATGTTTCTCCTCCCCCCCCTACCCTCCCCCCTCCACCTCTAAAAAAAATTTTCTGAAAAAGTTGAGTTTGGTCTCCCTTGTGAATTCTTAGAAAAAAATTATGCAAAAAAAACCACCTGTGCCGATTTTTTTTGACCTCCGCCCCCAAACCAAAAGTCCTCTTCGGCGCTGTATGTCTATCTATATACGTAGACTCTAATTAAACGAATTTCCGTCTGGATAATCTTATAAATTTTCCGCAACATTTGTCGAGAAGTTACCGTAACTTTGAAAATTTGAGTTTAAAAAAAGTTTAATATAAATTTTAAAAAAATTTTAAAAAAAGTATTTAAAATATCAGTAAGCTATTAAAATACTTCTTGTAAGCCGTTTGTTTACACCGGTGCTGTTAAAAATTTGGATAACCGGCTTAACCAACGCTCAAACTTTACACAGTAATCGCAGTAGTTTACTGGTTACACAGTAATCGCAGTAGTTTACTTTTTATTAACTTTGAAGGTAAAGTGAGTATTTCAAACATTCAGCATCATGTCTGTTTGTAAAAAGTTTTTTCTTTATTTTATTCTCTTGTTCTTTGGGCCGGATTCAGCGCCAACACGCGCTCGACGGCTACCGTCGCCGCAACTCTTGGAGACTTTTGAGCGGTCAATGAGAACTCGACTTGGTCTGTCTCTTCTCATCTTGATAAACGACACAGAGAAAAAACGAGAGATAGAAAGTGCAAGTCGATGAATCAGTCAATGTAGCAACATTATGAACGGATTGGTTTGTAGCGTTGGATGGAGGGTTTACAACCTCACTCATGATTTTTAAATAATTTTAAAGTTTTTTATTTTAAGATTTGAACCTAAGGGTTTATTTCTTTGAGATCGGCAGATTTAATCCAATCCAGAAAAATTGATCTTAAGCATATGGTTTAGGCTTAGATTTAGAAAGCTTCACCTTAAGAGGTTTTTAATGTTTTGGCTGAGGCTTGTGAGGCATAAACCTAGTGAAAGCTGCCTTAGTAGGCTTTGAATTAGTACGTTTAGGGTTAGGCTTAGTAGGCTTAGCAGACTTAGGCTTAGTATGCTAAAGCTAAGGCTGAGGGCGCTTAGAGTTAATAAGTTTACGCTTAGGCTTATTAGGCTTGGGATTAGTAGACGTAGGCTTCGTAGGCTTTGGTTTGATTGGTTTAGCCTTGCTAACTTTAAATTTAGTAGGCTCAGACTTAGCAGGCTTAGAAGGCTTGGTCTTATTAGGATAAGTTTTAAAGGGTTTCTGCTTAATAGGTAGGCTTACTGCATCTAGGCTAATGTAGCGGAGGCTTAGCAGAATTACTCGCGCAGGATTAGTAGGCTTAGACCTAGCAAGCTTTAATTTATTAAGCTAAGACTTAGTATGCTTAAGGTTGAGCAGTTTAAGCGCAGCAGACGTAGGCTAAGTAAGCTCAGATTTAGTAGGTATAAGATTGGTAGGCATTTCGCTAAAGCAGCTTAACCGTAGTAAAATTAGGCTTTGTAAGCTTAGGCGCAGTTAACTTATCTTTAGTAAGCATAAACATGATGGATATATGCTTAACTTAAGCGTAGTAAATTAAAAAAAAGTTTGTTGCTTAATTGATGTGAAAAACTTTTTATTTATTAAAAAAAGTTACAAAATATTTACATTTTATGATTATTAGTTCAAATCATTTTTTAAAACTACGATCAGGGTCGGGCGCGAAGGGGTGGGGGACGAGAAGGGGTCCCCACCCCTTTCCCGTATGAAAAAAAATTTCGAAAAAATTTGAACGTATTTAATTCTCCTGTGGATTAATGAAAAAAATTTTTGGGATAAATCGGCACAAATCACCACCCCCGTGCCGCTTTTTTCGACCCCCGCCCCCAGACCAAAAGTCTCCGCCCGGCCCTGATTATGATAGTCATGACTTATCCTCTTCCACAATTTACTGACGTGCAAATTAACCAAAACGAAGCCACTGAGTTGGCATCACCAATGTTGCCATTGCCATAGTTATGAAAACCGTCTCCAACAGCATGGTTTGGACTGTAACCGTTCAGTTGGCTATAACTGCTGTAGGTGGGAAAGTATTGTGGTGCTGGTTTGGCCATGGCAAGGGCTATTAGGGATAGGAGTATTAGGGTAGACATCAGGGCTTTCATGTTGATACAGCTTTAGATAAAGGTGATCGAAGGCGTAGAAAAGGTTTTATATTACTGTAGAATAGTCTTAACGTTTGGAATTTCAACTTTGTAACGTTAGAGTAGGAGTTTTCGTCTTACTGTAGAAAATACTTTCTATTACTGTAGTAACAGTAGAAGTAAACTATCTGTAAATACGTTAGAAAGAAAAAGTATTAATGTAATCTCTCTAGAAGGAAAATAATTTTTAGGCTTATAGTCAGTGATAAGAGTTGTTACAAGCCGTTGGTAAACTAATAAAAATAGAAAAAGGTTTCCGTGGATTGCAAACTAAAGTAATATTCCCCCAAAGAATGTTTACAAAAACACACGTATCAGTTGTTTAATACGCGCACCGATTGTAATATCATGAAACAGCCGAGCAATGCCTTAAAATACCAATGACGTTCTTAAACCAAAAATTTCGAAATTCCGACGACTGTTTTCTGGTCTTAAGAACTCACTAACCAATCAGAGTCTTAACCTTGTCAATATTTATTAAGACTGTAGCTTGTTATGGTAAATGGCTCTAGTCCAGAGCCCTCTCCTAGAGCATTAGCTAGCTGATTTGAAAATATTCTTTTTGTCAACAAAATTGCAAGGAATATGGTTTTTTTCTTGTCGATTCAAAAAAGTTACAGTAATTCTACCGTATATTATGCGCATAACTTTTTTTTAAAAATTGAAGATGTACGTTTTACATGTAAAATAAAGCATAAGAAGTTGAACAACTTCTGAAAGTTTTAATATTTTATTTCCTATAGTAAAAGAGTCACTGATTTTTAAAATTTAAAAAATCTCCGATTTTTCAACCGGGATCAAACTGGTTTTTGAAAATTTTTGTACAGTTTAGCCGGTCCGCGTTGGTAGCGCAGTGTCTGTGGCGCCGCTAGCTATTCGGAAGAACCTTGGTTTGACCCCGCGCACCGCCCAACCCAGGCGCCTTGAGGAATGACTAGTGCTAAGTGCACGAGAACTAGGCACGTCTATACTTGGCCTACAGGAGTATATGATTGAACGCCAAAAGTCTTATGGAGCACCTCACCCACGACTCAGTGACGCGAGGAACAGTGAAATACCTGGGGGGAGGCCCAATTATGGGAAACGTCAGACTCAAGGATAGCTCCGTTAGTCTTCATCTGAACCTTGAACATTCTTGCACATCAGCACAGTACGTTACAATCTACGGCATCAAACTACTAATCTAACCTAATATATCTCTCGAGTTGTAATTGTAGACGCTTGAATATGTAAAGTAAATAAACTAATAAAAATAAGCGCCAAGTTTTCCGACCCCCACCTAAAAGCGCTTGCCTGTCCCTGCCCTTGATTAGTGAGTTAAACGACACAATTTTTGTGAGAATATATACATGTTTATTTCAATGTTTCGTTACGAATTCCTACACATTTTAAGATTGCACCGGATGAAAACGATAAGCAAACATATGCAAATTTCAATGCCAATTAGAAAATAGAAAAATAATTTTCGATAGTCCAGCTCTTCATTCCTTTGTGACCTATATAAAGAGCGTTTTGGCGTCGTACTCTCTTCTTCCAGTCCAAAGGCAGTAATGTAAATTACTATTGCTGAGAGCTTTACCAGGGCGTTTATTACCTAAAATTGAGGTTTTAGTAAGATGATCGTTACAAAAATTAAAAAAAAATTAATTTTTATATTTTTTTGAAGATTTTTTTAAAAATTTTTAAAATAAAAAAAAATTTTTTTTTAAAATTTTTTTTAAAAAGTTTTTTTTCAAAATTTTTTATTTTTGTCAAAAGCCATCAACACCAATATCAAAAATGATGTCTAAAAGCCAAAAATACCTCAAAAAGTATGACAATTGTTCATCTGAACCCAATAATATTGATCATACTCTATCTTTGCTCATTTCAAAGAATCTTGTCATAACTTTTAGTTTTGATGACCTCGTGACGTTTCATTTATTTTAAAGACTTGAAGTTTTTGTAGAGAACGACAAAACTCGTAAAATTTTATGGTCAATTTGATCGAGAGAAATTTGTTGCGAAAGTTGCGAAGAAAGTGGAAATTTAATGACTACCCTACCCTACCCTACCATACTCTACCCCGTTCGTCTACACAATTTTGATAATCTACCATACCCTGTGAATCTAACCTACCCTGTAAACCTACTTTACCCTGTAAATCTACCCTACCTTGTGAATCTACCCTACCTTAAAAATCTACCCAATTCTACAAATCTACCCTACCTTACAAATTTGCCCTAGCCTGTGAATCTACCCTACACTAAACATCTACCTTACCTTTAAACGGACCCTGCCTTTTAAATCCATCCTCACCTGCCTCACTCAGAAAGTCGACTCTAAAAAAACTACCCTACTCTAAAAATCTACCCTGTCCTAACCTATAAACCTATCCTACCCTGTCGACCCACCCCACTCTAAAACAATGTAAAGACTTACCGCAGTGATGGTGCAAAACATTAAATCTTCGTTGCTTTCCATTTTATTGGCCAACGTGGCCACAACGAGGAGGAATGATGGAATGATGAGTGAGATGAATGAGATCGGGTAGTAAAAGAAGATCAGAACACAGGAGAACACCAGGTACACGGCGACGGCGATAAACGTGATTTTCTGAAAATTAAAAAAATGTAAAATACGCGACAAAACATTTTTCTTAAATTTCAATTTTTTTACTGGAAAATTTTTAAAATTTTAAATTTAAAAATATAATAAGAGTGAGCTTACCGCCGCTGTATTGCCATTCTCCGAGCTTATCGACTCGGATTCGTATGGATTTCCACGTGCAAACAGCATGTTGCTTGGAGACAAGTTTAGTACTGGACCTGATTGACTACCTCATATAAACTAAAATTTTAAAAAAATTTAAAAATAGTACAAGTATAAAAATTGCACTACACTCTTTCTACACCATCCAATGTTAATAATGGAAGATTTTATAAACGTATTTTACAATTACAACAAAAAAACGTATTTTACTATAAAAAACAAACGTTTTACTAATCTATAATACCATGCCCTTTCATAATCTTACTTACCCCAATCCAATGCAAGCTTTAGCCCAACTCATGCTCTTAGTTTTTCTGTCGTAACTTCTCTTCTACCTACCCTGGCCATTTCAAATACTCTGCTAGCCATGACTTAGCCCTACCCTAGCTCTACCCTAGTCATATATCAAACCTACCATAAACTTACCTATTCATAGCATAGCCCTGCTCTATTTGTACGTCAAACCTACTCAAACCCTATAAGCTCCCCTACCTTAGCTGTAACCTATTCCTAATCTAGCAGCACCTTAGGCTTATTTAAGTCTTAGCCTAGCGCTAGCCTACTTTAACCCTACTCCACTCCTATTATAGCTCTACTTTAGCTATACCGTAGATATAACACATCATCTTATGCTTATTCAGGTCCTAGCATAGCCTTTCCTTAGTCATATTCTGGCCTTGCGCTAGCCTATCTTAATTCTACTATAAACTTGTTTTAGCCCTACCGTAGCTCTACCCTATCCATAACCTAGCCCTAGATTAGCCTTATTCTAGCTTTGGCTTTCTTCCCTAGCTTTATCTAAATAGCTCAATTCTAGCTAATCTACATCTAATCGTTACCTTACCTTACTCTTGTCCTATCCAAACCTTTGCCTACCCCAACTCAAATTCTATCCCAAACCCTTACTTATTACTTCTCTAGTCCTACCGCGACCATTACCTACTTCTTCCCTAAACCTACCCAAACCATTATCTTCCTCTACCCAAGTTATACCCTACCCAATAAGTACCCCTATCCTAGTTCTACCCTAAGCCTTACCTAACCCTATACAAGTCTTACCCTTACCTTATGTCTACCCTTACTCAATCCTTTCCTGGCTTTATTCTTTTCTCCCCATAGTCTTATCCTAACCTTACCTATTTACCTCCGCTTACCCTAACAATTATTCATAACTTATAACAACAAAACCTTAATTAATGTCATAAACAACTCCTCACCCATTTGAACGTCATAAATGTTTCAAAACTAATTAAGAGTCAATTCATTCAAAACCCTAACCTCTAAAAGCAAAAGCTCAAAGTTCGGCCAAAGTGTTTTTATAAACCGGCCACACGTCAACGACATGTCCCCAACATAAAACATAACGGTTAAGGCTACTAAACGACCGGATTCCTAGTCGGTCGTTCGGTTTGAAAGTGTAAAAACGTGAAAAAAGACGTTCAAATGCCAGGTTTTTTGCTCCGACCGGCTGTCAGCCAAATGCCCGCAGGCCCTCTTAAGACACGATTTTGACGAAATCACCCAAAAATTCGATACGCTTTTTTTCGAATCGAAAAACAATCAAAAACAGATTTATTTGCAACAATCCCAACATCATATGCGAACAGGGTTAGGTAAATATGTTGTTTTTGGTGATAACATAGGGTAAGGGCAGTGTTTTGCCGAACCCGTTCGGTCCGGACATGTCTAGACGAAAAAATTTTAAGCCGGATTGAAAAAGTCTCAGCCTAGTCCAGTCCGGATGGGTCCTGATGAAAAACTTTGGTCCGGTTCGAATATGGACATATCGTCGTAGGCAGACCGGTCCGGCAAAACATTGAGTAAGGCTAGAAAAAGGCTGGTATAAGGTGCAAAGAAAAACGAGCTAGAGCTAGTGCTAAGGCTAATGATAAAGCTAGAACTACGGCTCTTGGCTAGGAATCTTGGCTAGGGCTCTGCGCTAGAACTCTGTGCTAGGACACTGGGCTAGGGCTCTGGGCTGGCGCCTTGGCTAGAGCTCTGAGCAAGGACTTTAGTCTAGGGCTCTGGGCCAGGGCTCTGGGCTAGGGCTCTAGGCTAGGGCTCTGGGCTAGGGCTCTGGGCTAGAGCTCCGGGCTGGGGCTCTGGGCCAAAGATAACCTTCTCTTAGCTTTGGCCTAGCCTTACCCTAGCTTTCTTGTAGTCATTTCTTAGCTTGCGCCTAGCCCTGGCTTAGTTTAACCCTTCCTGTAGCTTAACCTTAGTCTTCTTTTAGCCCTGGAATAGACTTATGATAGTCATAACTTAGCCCTACCTTAGTCTACAACTGGCCAAGTCTTGCCCCATTTAAAGGGTAGGGTAAGGTAAGGTAGGGTAGGGTAGGGTAGGGTAGGGTAGGGTAGGGTAGCGTAGGGTAGGGTAGGGTAGGGTAAGGTAGGGTAGAGTAGGGTAGGGTAGGGTAGGGTAGGGTAGGGTAGGGTAGGGTAGGGTAGGGTAGGGTAGGGTAGGGTAGGGTAGGGTAGGGTAGAGTAGGATAGGGTAGGGTAGGGTAGGGTAGGGTAGGGTAGGGTAGGGTAGGGTAGAGTAGGGTAGAGTAGGGTAGGGTAGGGTAGGGTAGAGTAGGGTAGGGTAGGGTAGGGTAGAGTAGGGTAGGGTAGGGTAGGGTAGGGTAGGGTAGGGTAGGGTAGGGTAGGGTAGGGTAGGGTAGGGTAGGGTAGGGTAGGGTAGGGTAGGGTAGGGTATTGTAGGGTAGGGTAGGGTAGGGTAGGGTAGAGTGTCTTATTCTTCTCCTCTTCCTGGAATAGCCATAATCTAGCCCGACGTACGTTTTCTTCTAACCCTGCCCCACCCACTTCAAATCGAACCAAACTTTTCAAGTTTATTGTCCATAAACATCTATATCTTGTGTAAAAAAGTAATCCTTTAACGTATATCAATCCAAACTCATTCAAATTCGTCGTGGTCGCCGGGTGGTCTGTAGGCCACGCCAGCCGTCTTTGGTGCAAAGTCGCGGTCGGGCAGGATTTCGTTTCCAAAATGTGAGCGGAAGCACTGTTCCAGGGTGTAACAAATGCCGAGGACGGCGTTGCGGGCGCAGCGGTAGTTGTGGATGGCCTGATGGAAGGAACAGAGGGGGTTCGTCACTTGGTGCAGGTTGCTCTGAAATGATGTTTTAGGTGAAATACGTTCAGTTTTTGTAACAACAAAAAATAGTCAAAAATTCAAAAAAATTCCCTGATGTTCAAGGCTTTCGTGTCGGGACCCAAAAATATTTTTTTTTTATTTTTTATATGGCAAAACCCAAAACCAATGTTTAAAACGCTTTTAGGCTTAAGGTCACACAATACTAACGATATTTCAAGGTTTTCGTTCCGGGACCCAAGTTGTCGTGTCGAGACCCAAAAATAAAGCCTTTTTCAAATTTTATGCCGCAAAGCAATTTTTAAAATGCTTTTAGGCTTACTTAAAGTGATACATAAATTTTCACCTTTCCCTGATATTCAAGGTTTTCGTGTCGGGACCCAAAAAATTTTGAAAAATTTTCAAAACCAACCTCTTCACCTTCCGGAGTACCGTACAAGTTCATTTCATTTACAAAACTACTTAGGTCCTCGTTCATGCCAACAAAACTGGCCAACGCGTCGATAAAGGCCGAGGCTAGGATGAAGCGTTCCGGGTCGATTCGCAGGGCTAAAATACGAAATATTACAACATTATACAGCTTTACAATTAAAAATAAAAAACAGAACAGACGTATTTTACAAACTCACAGCCGTGTTCCAGGTCAATAATGTTAGTCATCTCGTTCACGCCTTGTATCACCTTCTTGTATTCGTGGTCCAACACCAGAATCCAGCGATTTCCCCACTCGCCAACCAACAATGGTGCTTCGTCTGAAAAGGGTAAAATAATATACGACGAAAAAAACATTTTTTTTACAAAGATTAAAAACAAATCGTAAAAGAACCCTGCCCAAAAAAATTATCCACCCCCAAATCAAAAAAAAAGTCGCCCACTACCCAAAAAAAACTCAAAAAAATTTAAAATCCACCCCCAAATCCAAAATTAAAAAATCTCACCCTGCCCAAAAAACCACCCTCTACCTCAAAAGCACCCCCTACCCAAAAAACCCCTTATTCAAAAAATCACCCCTTACCTTAAAAAGCCTGCTCTTAACCAAAAAAAACCACCACCTACCCAAAAAAAACCACACCCTATCCGAAAAACTCATCCCCTACCTAAAAAAAACCACCCCCTACCCAAAACACCACTCCTTAATCAAAAAGCACCTCTTACCCAAAAAAAACACCCTCTACCCATAAAAAACCTCCCCCCTACCCAAAAAAGCACCCACTATTAAAAAAAACCTAACCCTATCCAAAACACCGCCCCCTACCCAAAAAAACCTCCGTCTACCCAAAAAACCCCAAAAACAAAAATTTTTATCCACCCCCTCTTCGAAAATCAAAAAAATCAACCCACTGTTCCTGCTGGGCGTCTGATTCTTCCAAGCTTCCGGATCCGTGTCCAGATTCGGAAAGACGGACCGTGCAAACTCCAGAAAGCCATTAGAGTACGGGATACTGGCCTCATTCCGGAACAGTGCCGTAATGGTCTGAAGACGACGAACCATATCGTGAAGAACGTTGGGTGGGCGACGGTAACGTTCACGTTCGTATTGGGAACGGCCGAGCGAGAAGCCATTGGCCGCAGTAGAGTTGAGACGTCGCTTCTGGAGCGTGCTGAGACGGTGGACTGGCTCGATTAGGCTGTCAAACTAAAAAATGTTGCGTAAAATGACAAGAACTTTCTTTACAAAAAAAATGGCATGAACTTTCTTTACAAAGTCAGAAATGGCAAGAACTTTCTTTACAAGACATAAAACAGCAAGAACTTTCTTTACAAAACAAAAAATGGCAAGAACTTTCTTTACAAAACAAAAAATGGCAAAAACTTTCTTTCCAAATGAAAAATTTTTTAAAATTTCCAAAGTTTCATTTAAAAATGACTTACATAATCAATAACACCATTTTGAAGGCTAAACTCGGCCATAGCAACTTCAGCCGGCATCACCAGGCCATCAATGTCATCGTACATTTGCATTGACATGATCATCATTCGCATGCGCTAAAAATTCAATTTTTCTAATTTTAAAATTTAAATTTTTTTTTAATTTTAAAATTTTTAAAAAAATTTTTAAAATTTCAAAAAAAAGTCAAAAAAAATTCCATGCCCTACCCTAACTTACCTTACCCTGCTCAAATTTCAAAAATTTTAAAAATTTCGAAAATTCAACCCAAAAATTTTTAAATTTCAAAAAAATTTTTTTTTCAAAACTTTCAAAAACCCACCCTCAAATTAGTCACGTCCGTGCCGTCGTTGATAAAATTGTGAAAGAACTTGAGCATCTTGCTCTTGTCCTGATTGTACTTGAGTCGGCGTTCGTACGTGTCGCGCTCGCTCATGTCAATAATGTGGTCGCCAAAGTCAATGTCCTGACAGTCTTGTAGTTCGTATTCGTCGCCGTTGCATGGCTTTCTAAAATTTTTGAAATTAGCTCAAAGTAATCAAAATTTTTCAATAATCGAAAATTTGTAAAGAAAGTTCTTGCCATTTTTTGTTTTGTAAAGAAAATTTTTGCCATTTTTTGTTTTGTAAAGAAAGTTCTTGCCATTTTTTGCTTTGTAAAGAAAATTCTTGCCATTTTTTGAATTTGAAGTGTCATAAAACGACTTTTTCCAACCGCGTCAAAAAGAAATGATCCTTTTCCCTATACAACTCATAGGCAAAAAGTCCAATTCTTTTTGACGCAGTCAGAAAAAAAGCTAATTTTAAAAAACACGCATAACAAGCATTGTAAAACATAACAAAACACATATTTTAAATTCAAAAACCCTTAAAACCCACCTTCTTCGACGACAAACCGGCGCCGCCACCTGGTTGTTGTAGCCAATGTAGCGCACCTTGAAGACGCGGCCAAACGTGTCGCGGGTGACAAACTCCGAGTCGGCTTCGTCCTCGTTTTGTCGCTCAAAATAACGAATGCTGTGACAAAAGATGCGCTCCTCTTCGTGCCGCGGCTCCAGAATCTCGCCATTCGGACCGTACCAAGGACCGTCCCGTGTGACTGGCGGCTTGCGATGGGTCGAGGCCGCTTGGTTCATTTTGGCGTCTGGAATGAAAAAAACAGTTTAAAACTGCTTAAAAATCTCAAAAAGTACTTAAAATGGCAATATCTAAAGCGTCAGCAACATTTCAAATCAAAAAACAGTATTCCAATACAAAGTTGACGAAATGTCACGAAAATTGACATTTCGCCAAAAATTTAAAAAAACCTTTAAAAAACCAAAAAATAAAAAAACTAATCAACTCATACCCAAAAACCAATTTTTAATTTAAAAAATTTTTCCAATACAACGTTGGCGGAATGTCACAAATTGTTTACACTTCGTCAAGAAACATAGAAAAGTTCAAAAAATGCAAAAACTAACATCAACTAACCCTTGAAAACAACTTTCTAAAGTAAAAAGATTTCCAATACAAAGTTGACGAAATGCCAACAATTTGTGACATTTCGTCAAATTATCAAAAATGACCAAAAAAATGCTCCCTTATGCCATAAAAGCCTTAGGAATCGACAAAAAATCATCGTAACCAAGATTTTTCATTTTAATTTTTAAAATTAAAAAAAAATTTAATTTCAAAATTCGAAAAATTTCAAAAAACTCACTTTGAAGCCGCTGATACTCTCTAACCCTGGCCAATCGCTTCGCCTTGCTCGCCTCACGAGCCTTGAAATACGCCTCTGCACTGTGATTGCCTTCGTAGCGGTTGTTGCGACTGGACGGGGTCCATTGATTGGGCTGGTTGTAGATGATCCGCCTTCCGCTGGTCAACATTTTCTGCTGAAACTCCTCGGCCAATCGTGATATTAGTGCTTCTTCATTGTCCTGACGTGCCTCGGGTTCGTCGTCACGCGTGCCCAACATTGTGGCTAGCTTCTTTTGCTGCTCCAGGGCCGCTAGATAGGTGTTGCGTTGTTGTTGTAGACGGCGTTGTTGAGTTTGCTCTCTGTTGGGGGTGGGGCGCTTCTTGACACGGACCGTCGCCGAGTTCTCGTAGCAACGGTAGGGCATCTGATGTTTGGCTGTGGGTTTGGTTCGACGCACATAGGGACGGTGCTCTGAAGTCATCGTCTGAAAGAGTGATGAAGTTAGAGGAGAAAAGGAGGAGGGAGAGAGAGGTAGGGGGGGGAATCAAGGTAGGGGGGGGTCGGGAGGGGGAGGGGGAGAGTAAAGGAAAGAAAGGTGAGGGCAGGGTAATTTTGAATTTTTAAAAAGGGGAGATCAAATGTCAAAAAACAGCAAGAACTTTCTTTACAAAACGCAAAACGGCAAAAACTTTCTTTACAAAGTCAAATCTGACAAAAACTTTCTTTACAAAATAAAAAATGGCAAGAACTTTCTTTACAAAACATAAAATGGCAAGAACTTCCTTTACAATGCCAAAAATCACAAAAGCAAGATAAAAATCACCCCGCCCTCTAATCACTATACCCAATGACAGACCAAAACCAAAAACCTTTAAATTCAAAATGAAAATTTCGAAAAAAAACTTACAAAACAGTCGAAAAGAACACCGCAAAGTCAATCGATTCGAAGGAAATGTGAGCAAATCCACCCAAATCCAAGTCTTTTATACCCGGCCCAATTTGCAATTTGCATATTCAAACCTTTTGAAATTTTGAGAAAATTGAAAGAATTCTCGACATTTCTGGATGAATATTCGACAATTCTTTGATGAAATGTTACCTAAAAATTGTATTTTTTTATTTTTGCACGTCTTCTCGTTCAAAAATTAGTTATTGTTACCTAAAATTTAAAAAAGTTATAGAATTTAGACTTAAAATAAAAATAAACAGCATTTTTGTTACCTAAAATTCAAAAAAATTCGAAAATTTGTTACCTAAAATATAAAAAATGAACTACATATTGGCTTAAAACAACAAAAAACAGAATATTTGTTACCTAAAGTGTAAAAAAATTAAAAAAAGCACAACGATTTAGACCTATAAATAGCTTTATAATCAGTATTTTACACTTTCTTTGCAAGTAAAATCTTTCGTTGCGCGACTAAGGGCCTAGGGTCTCTAAGGCCTAGGGCCTTCATTTAAGCCCGTCTCTCGGGACCGCACGATCCGGCCCCTTATGAGTTTTTATCAGCCCGGAACGTAGGGGGAGGGTCTTTTCAGGTTTCCTATCTAGACAAACAACGTTCAGGCCCGGCCCCTTTTAATTTCGTCTCACAAGGCCGGCCTGGGGAAAAAATTGTAAGACTGGTCCAGCCTACTTTTCAGGCCTGGCCTAATTTTCAAACCGAAGTAGACTACTTTACAAACCCGGCCCGTTTCAAATTCAGCCCAAAGGTGATCCGATCAGGGTCTACACAGCCTGTTCCAAACCCCTAGTGTCTCCCATTCAAACACCTTTAACCAATTCCAACTTCACATGTATCAATTAAAATTTACTTTCGTCCCGCTTCGATAACATAATACAACAATTACAATACAAGTTTTTACTATCTGACCTATGATGAAATAACTATAACCAAGGTTAAGCGAAGTTTGAGTTTAGACACAATTCGAGACAAGGAGAGTACAAAACTGATAAAGAAAAGAGAGAGAGAGAAAGATAGAGGAAAATATAATTGATTGATTAAAAATGAGTCCAAATGGTGTTTAATGCTACACCTGGCTTGGTATGTTACTATGGCTTACTTATAGCATATGGTTATATGCACCATGGTGAATATAGATTATGCCAACATACACTATATCATACATATTGAAGTATATAGCATATGCCAAAACAAATCATAGTACTAATAGTGCAATATAGTACTAAACAGTACCAATACCACAAAAAGCAATTTCCGACTCCGCTGTAGAATACCAAGGTCCAATAGCTGATGATGACAAATTGAAGAATATTCATGAAGCTCTCGTTTAATTATATAGTCATACACGTCAGAGTACTGAAGATAGCGTATCGTACTCAAAAGATTCGGTGTTATACAGAAGAATCATCTTCCAATATATCAACTTTAAGGCTTGATATATGATGTTGTAGTAGATTGTAGAACGGAGTGTGGTAGAAAATCGAAAAATCGGTTCCAAACCTGATATTGTACATGGTATTAGCATTAAAATCAGATGGATTTCATTGGGTTTTAAGAGGATATGATTGAGAACAAGGTGAAATAGTAAAGGAAGAAGAGGAAATCAAGGATAATGTCTGAGGAGACGGACAGATAAAGTCAATTTAGAAAGATAATACAAGATTCACAAGGTTGAGGTATGGTGCAAATAGAAGCTACTGACATTGTAAACATTTTAAAATTTGTACATACGTTTTAAAATTTCAAAAAATGACTTTAAAATCATCGTTCCCCTTCAAAAAACCATGTTTCTGAGTAAAAATTGAGCCAAAACTTAAATTTTTTTGATCATATCAACTTAATTTAAAAAAACCAAAGCTCATGTTAATAAATATAGATGTTCACAATAGTCAAAAGCTTCAGTTTGCCCAATATCTTTCATAAGAAGACAGTTCTGACCTCATAAAGGACGAAATTCGACTAAAAATTGACGTTTTTTAGCCAAATTCGACCAAAAATCGGTCTTTTTTAAAGCAAAATTTCGAAAAAATAGACAATTTCGCTATTAAACATAAGATAAAGATGTCTAAACAATGTTTTTCAATTACAAAGTTGATGACAAGGCTTTGTATGCTGATTACAAAGCTGTACAAGATGATTACAAGGCTCTGCAAGCTGATATCAAGGTTCTAAAAACTGATTTCAAGGCCCTGCAAGCCAATTACAAAGCCCTGCGATCTAAAACACAGCCTTCACAGACACAACAAATAAGATATGAACCATTACAATAGGCACAAGTACCTAAATCACCAAAGGATAGCCTCTTAACAGCCAAAAAGACAATGTTAACCATGATAAAAGATCATGTTAACCATAAAAAAGACAATATTATCCATAAAAAAGAGACAAAATCTTACGAATTAGTAACATTTACGACTGAAAAAGTATAAAAAACAACGAGAGAGACAACAAGATTAATAAATATTGAACCACTTATTAGTTTCGTCACTGCTGGAAGGCCTCGGGCGGTATATTGGCACGAGCTTGAGTGAAGGCCTGACCCGCCTCCTCGTAGTTCCACTTCATGTCTTCCAAACACTTCTGGCTCCATTCCCGATTCATGCCTGACTGTTGGCAGAAGGTGACGATCATTTGTTCTCGTATGTTCGGATCGTTCACATCATAGTTCGGAGTTGAGGGTGGGGCTTGTTGAGGTTGTACTGGAGTCGGCTGGACTGGAGTTGGTTGGACTGGCTCCATTTTGAGATTCTGGAGGCCTGATGGGCCGGGCTGTTGAGGGTTGTTGTTGACGGAGAGGGAGTTGAGATCCAGGTTGTTGGGTTGGGGATCACTTGGCTGAAAATAGTGGAATTTAGGTAATAAATCGTCAATTTATAACTAAAAAGGAAAATTTAGGTGACAAATCATCGATCTTTAGCTGAAAAAACAAAAGTTTTAAAAAATCTTTCAAAATTAAAATTCCAATCCTTACCGCCTCCAAAGCCTTTTTGATAAGTCTTTGATATCGTTCCAAACGTTCCGAGTTGATGGGAGATATCGTTAATTGATCGTTCACAATGGCAATTTTTCTAAAATTTCATGAATATTACATTGGACTTTACAGTTTCAGCTCCGGCCACCGTATTTTACTTTGAAGTTTCAATTTTTTCCACTTTCTATGAAAAAAGATTTATCCACCCCCAAAAATTTTTACCCCACCCACATATTTTTTCAATTCTCAAATCAACCCTTCAATGCTTTTTCATTTTTTAAAATTTTTAATTTTTTCCTCCCCCCCAAAATTTTTTACACCGCCCAGAAATTTTTTTTTAATTCTCACCCCTCAGCCTTCGGTACCACAGCCATTGTGCGGTTGAAGAACTTGTAGCATTTCTCAGCACTATTCGCCTTTGTCACATCTTCACCATCACAAAATATGCCTCTGATAGTGAAGACGACCAGATTGTTGGTGATCATGACGAAGTCCAGTACAAAGCTGTCTTTTACATGTTGTGTGATTGGCAGTCTGCTCAAGGCTACAGCAATTTCCATGGCGCCCACTGACATCAGCTTTTCACGATACTTTTCCCACTTGCTTTCATGGAGAATATTGTGGGAGGAGCGAATGTATTGGCGGAAGGCTTCTCTGAAAATGGTTGAATATGATCCAATATTAATATAAAAGCCCAGAAAAACATAAAATTTAATTAAAAATGTTAGAAAAGATCAAAATTCAACAAAAAAATTGAAAAAAAGTGAAAAAATCGACCCAAAATTTCGAAAAAACTACCAAAACATATTGTACATAGTTTCAAAAGTTCACAACTACTATTCAAAATTCAAAAGCAATACCTTCTACATATTTTTCAGCCCAAAAACTCTCTTTTCCATACCTAAAATACCCCAAAAAGTTTAAAAATCCAATTCATACCTCGAAAAATTTCAGAAAAATCCTCAAAAATTTTCCAAAAAAATGCCAAAACTAAACTTCCAAAGTTGAAAAACAGTAAAATAACTAATAAAAATTCAAAAAACATGTCTTTAGCACCTCTTTTAATCCTAAAACCTCCTTTTTCATACCTAAAACATAAAAAAAATAAAAAAAATATGAACTTACTCATCTCCCTTTGGTACCATTCTGCTGTCCGGAACGATTTGAATGCAATGCGTAAAGGTTGCCTATAAAAGTTAGTGTAAAATACGTTATATAGATCTATATATTGCAAAAAGAATCAAAATTACAAAAAGAATCTTTAAAAAGATTTGCCTGCTCCGGAATTCAAGAAAATTGCTTGAAAAACCTCAAAAATTTAGAAAAAATTCTCAATTCTTGCCTTTTCAAAGCATAAATTTAACTTTTTTCATGCTCTTTATAACCCTTTTGTTACCTAAAACTAAAAAAAAATAATATTGAAACCCCTTACTGTTTCTTCATAAGCATTGATCAGGTTCTGACGACTCCTCGACGGCACAGGATCGTCGTAGATTTCAAAGAATTGGACGAGAAACTGTTCCACCATCAGTTTCAGTGTGGCGTCCGGAGCATATCCTGGCTGAAAATATAAAAAAAATTTATATTTTAATGATGAAACAAGGTTGAGTCGTATTTTACATTAACCTGAGATAGAAATGATATCCTTATAAAAGTGTTATGTTCAAAAAATTTTGAGCCACATTTTTTTGAACCACCCCCTTGCTCACCAGAAATTTTTTTAGAAAAAAAATGGTAAAAAAAATTTGTAAACTTCCAAAATCGACCAAAAAACCAGTCAAGTCAAAAAATATTATCGTACCTGTACTGGCGGATATGGTACGCCAGCTCGTCTCTGTAGATCGGCGTTGATTTTGTATGGGTTGCAATGAACCACAGTTCCATCCTTAAAAACCCCATTAGATTTTTGTCCATTTTCAGGTTCATATCACCTTTAAACGCCTTATTCTTTCCTTTTTGCCATTTTAAGTCAAAAAACTTTGTAAAAGTGTCATTATTAATTAAAATATAGTTAAAAAATTTTTTCTTAAAATATAATTAAAAAATGTTATTTCAATTAAAAGTTCATCTGAAAATTCAATTTTCCACCTAAAACATCGGCATAAACCACCTCAAACCCAACTTACCAGGTACGATACCCTCGGGAAGTAATCGTGAACAGCACTGAAACAATGTGTAAGCAACCATCAAGCCAAAGAAAAACAGCAAATTTTAGAAAACAGAGGGTTAACTCAAGCAAACACATACAATAACATCATTACTCCTATCATAGTATCATTAAAGTTAACATAATATCACAAATCTTATCATAATATCAATAATCTCATCAAGTTGAACTTTAAAAACATGAAGAATGTCAAAGTTAGTCACACTTTCAACTCACAATCAGTTATAACTTGAATTTAATAAGCCCCCAGGTTCAGGTCTATCTCTATGTTAACCTTATTCTTGACCTAACTCAACATTTTTTAGTCTGTTCTTCATTTTACCTACTCTATCTCAATTGCCATGCCCTACTATAACATAACCAGCTTATTTCTATCTTGTGAGCCCAAAAGCACTGTCAAAACTTATCATTTTAATTTCGATTTCTACCAACTTTCTAGCTCAACATCAATATCCAGTATAATATCAAGCTTCAGATCAAAATCCATTTTTCAGTCCGATATAAGCCATGTTTTATCAAGATATTATGTAAAACACCCCAAACTCTAGCCTAACCCCCATTCCACGCGCCCTCTCTCGCTAAAATAAACCTTGTGTATGAAGATCCATCAGCATAATCAGCTGTGAATGGGTTGTTCTCCAGGTGTAGTCGTTCGATTCCCCATTGACGGAACTTTTCCAGTTGTGTTATTGATTTCAACTGGAATTTGTAAGCATTACCTATTGAAATGTGGTCTGTATTGAGCTTGAAAAGGTTGTTTTACTGTTGAAAAAGCTTATTTTAGGCAGTAAAAGGCTTTTTTTGCCATGCAAAGCCTTGTTTTAGGCTTTAAAACCTTGTTTTAGCCATGAAAAACATTGTTTTACTCTTGAGAAGTCTTGTTTTAATCATAAAACACTCTCTATGATTCATGTAAAAGCCTAAAAACAAAACAAACACCAAAAATAAACTTACTTGATTATCAGACAAGTCAAGTTCAACCACTTGAGGAGCTGCAAACGTCAACGTCATAGCTGTATCCAACAAGTTCAATCTGTTGTTCTGAAAAAGCGCAAAATTAATATATATCAACTAACAATGCCCTCAAACTTAAAGCTAAAACATTTTTAGTTGTGAAACGTACCTTCAAACTAATTCCGGTAATATCTGGGTATTTGTCATTTATAATCTTGATTACTTCAACCATAACTGCATTTCTGGTAAGTGAGCACAAGTTACCCAGGTCGTTTTGAACAAAAACTGAAAGAAACTTTCGTTGAAGCTTTGTAAAACAACAAAAATTAATATTTCTTCAGTTTTTAATAAAAATTGTAAGTTCTTTATTGATATCTCTATGTTACCATAGGTTTTTGTGTTGTGATACCTATACCTATAAACCATATTTTAAAATTATCATTTTCCAAGCTAAAACACAGTCCATCCTCCCCAATAACTCACGTTTATCATGTTGAAACTCGCTCAAATCGAGCGAGTTAGCTGCCTTGTTATGCCGACTATCCACAACCTTTCTAATATTTTGTTTTATATTCATGACCAACGCCTCCCATGGCGCTGGAGTTTGTTTGGCATAGATCACAAGCTTCTGCGACGACCCCGGAGGGTAAGACAATCTTCTGCTCAGCATCTTAATACTGTCACATTCTTCTTCCGTCAACACGAAAAACGTCACATTCTTTTGATTATCCAAATTGAAGTTAAATGGCATGAACCCGGAGACATGTTCGGCCAATGCTTGTGCCACAAACGCAATACCACCACGACCTTGTGTTCGAACTGTCACTTGATAAATGTTGTCACGGCGATTTGTTCCACCAGTCTGTCGAGCCAGTTGCCGATTCCTGACCAGCGATATTCCACCTCCGCGGGTTATTCTTGATGCTGCGCGCTGAAACAAAAGTTTGTTTAACCAATATTAGGCTTAAAAGTCAGAGTAGACAATGTTCTTCAATATGCGTATAAATTCATCTACAAAAAGGTTCGCAAAAATAAGCAAACGGCACTATCACCAAAAATACCCATCAATTTTAAACTTGCTTTCCGTTTTTGCTTTCAAAGCTAGAAAAATCACAAAATAAAATTCATAAATTGCCTCAAAAACATTTTTCAGACATTAATACTTCTAACACAAGCAATACCTTCACTATTTTAATACCTAAACCTCAAGAATAGAACAAACTCTTACGTTACTAACATTGATAGGTAAGGCTTTTTCCTCTTCATCTTCATAATCGTATCTTGATGTTATGTCTTCATCTAGAGCTGCAAATTTGTTCATAGTACGTTCCTTGACATCTCGTCGTCTTCCTTCATTCTTCCTCCTTTCAATATAAGCCATATTGTTTTTGAAGTAGCACCAAACGTCCAATACTTCTGAAAATATACAATTTTTGGATTTAAATTTAAATTTTTGGACAAAAACCCGACTTAAAGCATGAAAACGATTTCTCAATATCTCGTTCAACTAATAATGTACGATTCTTCAAGATCTCAAACATTTTTAAACCAAAAAATGTCAGTTATGTTATGTTAGACGCCTCCGTTCTTATGATCATGAAAAGTAATCAATGCAATTCAAAGGTAACTAAACATTCATAAGGAAAGTTTAGACGCACATAAAAACGGATAAAATACTACTTGCGAAATGTGAGGAACAAAAAATTGTTTTATAACACCAAGCTGCGCCCAAATGTCGTATGACACTTCTATGCTATCAAAATCTGGTAATATTTGCCAGAAGTGAGAAAATATATTAGGTATAACATTTATTAACATTTTTAAACATTATTTATTAACATTAATTTCAAAATCGACCAAAACTTAAAGTTTCAAGTTCCTTCCGCAGCCTGCGCTTTTCTTCTTGATATTTTTTCAGTCCCGCCACGAAAACAAACGACCTTCATTGATTGTGCGCTGTTTTTTCTTGTACTCGCAAAGCTTCGCAGGATCTTTATGGCGCGTTCACCTTCTGTAAATCGCTGAAACGTATTACTCGTCGTTTTTTCTTCATTACAAGATGGTTAACATGTTCGGGATGGTGTTTTCGTGTTTTTAAAACTGCTGTTTGAGGATTTGTGTTTAATATAGTGTTTTATAGGTAACAAACTTGTTTTAACATGAGTAACGGTGGCCAAGTGGACCCATCTGCTGCGGCACAGCAGTTCGAAGCATGGCAACAATATTACGGGCAACAACAAGCTCAAGCTGGTCAAGTAAGTTGAATTAATTGAGTTTTGTTGTTTTAGGCTTGACACTTATCGCTTGAGGTTTAGAAGTTGGTAACGGTAGTTTTCTAAGGAATTACTGTTTGTTTGGGCTTTAAATAAGCTTTAAAACATTGTTTTAGTTTTGACATTGGTGATCAACATGAATATCGAGTAAACTCTAAAATTTACCTATTCTTTTGGTCTAAAACCTGCTCAAAACGTCCGCAAAGCTTCTTTTCATGTAAAACAACATACATTTGTCAAAATTAACAATTTTTCGCTCAAATATATTAAAATATTGTTTTAGTTACCACCAAATCCAGGAGGTGGATACGGAAGTGCTCCACCAGCTCAAGCAGCCCCTGCATCTTATGGTGGAGGTCCACCAGCTTCATATGGGGGTCAACAAGGACCACCTCAACAAAGCCGATGGGGCGATAGAGAGTAAGTTATTTCTAGTTTTAGACCTAAATATCCGTTTGGTTGAGTGTAATATGAACGTAGATAGGTGTTTTGGAGTTGTACGTAGTTTAACAGGTGTATGATGTTTTTTAACAAGTATATATGGTGTATTAAAGTGTAATTATTATTAAGATACATAGTTTGAGTCATTATGGAGTATAGATTGACTTGATTATATGATTTTATGTTGAGGTATCTACCTCTATAACTTGAACTTTTATTTTTTAAGCTATAAAGTTAATTTAAAGGTATATTATGATAGTATATGTAGCGTATGTACAATATTGTCGGTGTTTTAAAGGGTCCGTGAAAACCGGACCCAAAAATCGAATAATGGTATAAATATAGATATGGTTAATATAACAAAGGTCATGGAGAAGGTGTCCAGGTTACAAGGTCGTCAAATAGTGATGTTATGGTGTGTCGGACAGGGATTTTGTGTACAATTACTGTACAATAAAACTGCCACAGGTGCTGTGCAATTAAAAACGTACTATTTCAGTACAATATTCTTGGCTTGAGCTAAAGCTTGGTTTTTGGCCGTTTTGGAGGCTTTCTAGCCGCTGACATGGCTTAAAAGCTAGTCTAACTTTAGCTCAATAAAAAATTTAGACCTGGTCATATAAAGAATGTAATATAAAGTCCGGCACACCGAAAATACATCACCAACACCCAAGAGTTCAACAACAAACTAACGGTCATAATATTTTCAGTTCCAGCGGAGCGGACTCGCGCGGTCCGTACAGAGGTATTACTTTATAATTAGTCTTGGTTTTTAAATGGTCTTTGGGGATGGCGTGGGCAATGTTGGGTAAAGGTGTTATTGTTAGTGTTAATGTACTATAACATATTCATATTAATAGTAATGAGGAAAAAGTTGATTTTTAATGTTGCTTTTAGTCTGGTTTAACTATTATTAGGTCTGAACGGGTCACTAATGGCTATATTTTGTGATATATGGCCAAAAGCTGTCCAGATTTACCTGGAAAGACAGGTTAATACACACAAGGCATGTGTATGGGATATTACTCTTAGGTCGTTGGCTTAAAAGGTCTTATAGTCTTATTTTTGATGTTATTATGCATAAACAGCATCAAACTACAATGTGGTTTTGATTTACTGATATAGCAAATCAAAACTGTCAGGTCAATTTGGGTTATCATCTTCTGAATGCTTTATAGAACACTAATGTTAAAATAGGGTTTAAAATTTCAAAAACAGCTTTTGAAACTTAATATTACCTGTTCCTTATTTCAGGAGGTCAAGGCGGCGGTAGTTACGGCGGACAAGGCGGCTACAATAGTGGTGCTGGACGTGATGGTGAAGATCGCGGCGGCTACGCACCCCCAGCTCCAGGCAAAATGATTTTTGTCAGTGGATTGCCTCAACAGTAAGTTTTTTTTACGTTGTGTTGGGTTTTTAGGTTGATCGGATAAGAATGGCGCGTTTGGGAGTAAAGAGATGGAAGATAGGTCAAAATAGTGGTAGATGAGACTCTTTTGATGACATTATAGTTAAAAGTGGAGTTAAAGATCATTTTTTAGATTTAGCGAGGTGGAGAATATGTTATTCTTCGTTCTTTAGGTAAAAAGATGAAGAATGACATGTTTAATGAAGGAAAATAAAATTAATGTTAAGCTTGCCTGTTTCAGTGCCAACGAACCCTACATCAATGACGTCTTTAGCGCTCTAGGACCAATTGAAGTGAATCCGAACAGTGGAAAGCCTAAAATCAAGATCTACTCGGCTCACGGTATCTCCAAAGGCGAATGCACTATCTGTTTTGAAAGCGAAGCTACTGCCAAAAAGGTCATCGAAACTTATAATGGTAGGTTTGTGTTAGGCCAAAAAAGGTGGACTAAAGAGCTTAAAATGTGACTGAAACGGCTAATGATATCGATCTCTAAATTTTTTTTTGAAAAGTAAAAAAATGGCTTAGAAATGTTACACAACTTAACAAAAAAATTTTCAGGCCAAGCCTTCCCCGGAACCGATAACATTCTCTCCGTAAGCGTGGCCGAATTCAGCGGCTCATCAGGCGGCGGACGTGGTGGTGGAGGCGGCGGATTCCGCGGAGGATCACGTGGCGGAGGCCGAGGAGGATTCGGCGGAGGACGTGATGGCGGCCGAGACGGTGGTGGTTACGGAGGACCACCAAGAGACGGAGGACGTGATGGTGGCTACGGTGGAGGTCGAGGTGGCGGCCGAGATGGTGGACGTGACGGAGGCTACGGCGGCGGAAGAGATGGAGGTCGTGACGGCGGTTATGGTGGAGGCAGAGATCGAGGACCACCAAGAGAAGGAGGACGTGATGGTGGATACGGCGGAGGTCGAGGCGGTGGCCGTGACGGAGGCTATGGTGGTGGTAGAGATGGTGGACGTGATGGAGGCTACGGTGGAGGAAGAGATGGTGGATATGGAGGAGGAAGAGACGGCGGAGGCCGTGGAGGTTTCGGCGGAGGACGTGACGGCGGCCGTGGCGGAGGCTTCGGAGGTCGTGATGGTGGCGGCGGATTTAGAGGTGGAAGAGGAGGACCAAGTATGTTGTCTTAGGGTTAATATAGATGCGTACTAGCTTAAACTGGTTTTAATCTAGAGGAATATTAGCTTCAAAGTTTAATTTTAAATTTTCTTGACTAGGTATTACCTAAAAATGTAATAAAAGTCAATGATGACAAACATCCTTGCTCTTTGAACAGAATTCAAAGCAGAGATGGTCAGAATTTGAGTTGAAAAGGCTAAAATTTGACTGGATTTGTGGAGAATACGGTCTGTTATGATTAGATAGGCCTCTGAGACTTGTTATTACATGAAAAATTAGTGGTACCTAGTTGATAAAAAGTAAAAAGTATCGTTTTGTCGAAATATTAGACTTGAATTTGATTTTGTAGGTAATGAAAATAAGAATTCTGGTGTTTTCTTTGAGAAAATTGATAGTTTCTAAGGTATTAACGCTAAAATATGATGTTATAGTGCTAGAGTTTGCTGTAAAATAAAATTAAAACCCAAATTTTAGGAGGCGGTGGCCAAGGCGGCCGCGGCGGCGGAGCCCCACGCGGAGGAAACGGCGAAGTCCGCGCCAACGACTGGATGTGCCCATGCGGAAACAACAACTTTGCCTTCAGAAAGGAATGCAACTCATGCAAAGCACCACGATCTGGCGGAGGAGGAGGTGGTGCGCCAGGAGGAGGACCACCACAACCACTATCCTCGTTCCAAGGCGGCCCACCACAACATCACGGTGGTGGAGCGATGCGCGGCCCACGTGGTGGGGATCGTCATGCACCATATTGAAGATGATTTTCGGATGATTTATTAATTTGGACTTGATTTTTTAATGGTTATGCGGCTTTTGGGATGTTTTTGTTTCCTGTTGGGATAACATTATTTCTTCTTGGGATGATTTTATTTCTTTTTGTGGTAATTTTATTCTTTTTTGAGGTAACTTTACTTCCTTTTGAGGTAATTCTACTTCTTTTTTGATTGTTTTTATGTCTTTTTGAACTACTTTTGGATCGATATTGTTCTAATTTACCTATTTTTTGTTAGATTTTTGTCTTTTTATCCTCTTTTTGGCTTGCTTATTATAGGTCTTTTTCACCCAAACATGGTCTGAAAAATGTCGTTTTGGTTGAATTAATAATCAAAAAGATATATTTGATTTTGTCATTAACCATTTCTTTTATGATCTGTTAACCTTTATTGTTGTTTGTCTTGAATTTTGATTAATAATCGTTACTTTTTGAGGTTGGAAATCGTTTTTAAGGATTTTATAAACGTTTTTTTGAATTTTAAATAGTAATAATAGTTATTTGGCTTATTGTAATTTGTTTTTGTCATACTATAGCTTGACTTTATGTTTTAGTAGGTATGATAAGTCTCCTCTCTCCTCTGATATTCACTAATTTCCCGAAGTATCGAAACCTCAATGTTAGTTTTAGAATTGCTATTAATCTCTATTTTCGATTTTGTATATTTCATAATAAATATTTTAGTCATTACTTGGTTTTTGTGATGTTATGAGGTAAACTTCCAGATGGACATAATTGTTTGGGGTGGTTTTTTAGAGGTGTAGACTTTGATTCTTTATGGATATTGGGCATTTACTAATAGGAAAAGTAATTTGTATGTATGGGTAATAAAAAAACGTCTTTTTGGGTATTTTTTGGCATGGATTATATAATTTTTGGCTATTTTTTGTGTTTTAATGTTTTTCACTGAAAAACGGCAAGATCTTCCTTTACAAACGAAAAAATGGCAAGAACTTTCTTTACAACACAAAAAATAGCAAGAACTTTCTTTACAAAACAAAAAATGGCAAGAACTTTCTTTACAAAATAAAAAATGGCAAGAACTTCCTTTACAAAACAAAAGATGGCAAGAACTTTCTTTACAAAGCAAAATATGGCGAGAACTTTCTTTACAAAACAAAATATACTATTCATCCTACTAGTCGTATTTCACTACAAATCCGCCCAATTTCAGCCTTCCAACCCGAAAATGTCAGACAATTTCGAGCAATTTTATCAAGATCTCAAGAAAGTCGAAGAGAAGGACTCAGTATTAACATCAGATCAACAGATCACACGTCTCCTGAAGCCAGGCTCAACTTATTTGAATTTGAATCCATTTGAAGTGCTACAAATCGATTCAGACTGCACGATAGAAGAAGCCAAGAAACGTTACAAACGACTGTCAATTTTGGTGCATCCTGACAAAAATCCTGACGATAGGGAACGTGCTCAACGTGCTTTTGACATTTTAAAGGTAAGACTTTGGTTTTGTTGATTTTTTTGGTTTTTAGGTAACAAATGGAGTGGAAAATGAAGTTTTATGGCCATCGTATATCAATATTGTCATTACTTAACGATCACAAAAGTTTTGTCGTTTTTGAACATTCAAAACAATGCGAAATCACGACAAGACTTTTGTGCTACTTCAAGATTGGCTAAAACAACATAAAACTCGAATAATAGGTCAATGTTGATGTAATTTTGATCATTTTCAGAGAGCCATAACAAAGCTAGAAAATCCAGACGAGCTAGCCAGATGTAAAGAAGTTTATACAGAAGCTAGAGCAAGATTGGCTATTGTAATGAGTGAGAAGAAGAGGAAACTGAGAAAGGACGGCAAGTCAGAAGAGATCGATGAAGACACTGAAGATGGATATCGGAAGGCGCTTTGGGTTACTGTGACTAAGGTAAGGCTTGTAGATTATGTTGATCATACTTTTACACTACCTTATCCTACCCCACCCCAAACTTTCACGCCTACCCCCTCCCCCCTACCTCTACCTCCGGCTTTTCCCTGCCAACACTTGCCTAGTACCACTATATCTTCTACCCTACCTTAACCACGCCTTTATTATTACCTTGCTTTATTCTACTCCGCCTTACTTACCTTACCCTACGCTACTGTACCGTATTGTATCCTGCCTTACCTCAATTCACCTTTTTAAGTCCATAACTTAAAAAAATCATTAAAACCTCCAATTTCAGGTCTTCGCCGACCGTGAAAAGAAGCGCCGTGCCATCGAAGAGCGTCAACGCGAAGAGAAACGTCGAACGGCGGAAGAACTGCAAAAAGCTCAAGAGAAACGAAAACTAGAAGAGGAATATAAACAGAACTACGAATCGACCAGAGACCTTCGTCGAGGCTCATGGCGTGAATTCATGAAGAAAAAAGAGAAAAAGCTAGCCACCTACCAAGGCGCCAACTTCCGACCGGTCACTGGCAAGCTAGAGACCAGCAAACAGCAGCCAAGTCAGCCAACTCGACGGTTTTGATTAATTTATTCTTGGTTTAATATATTATGATTGATAATATTGGGGTTGATCAGTAAAGATGTACAGAAAAGGATGGGATTTGGCGTGGTAAGGGGGTTGGGAGAGGTTTTAGAGGTGGGCATGGGTTTTTTTGGGTTGGGCATGGGTTTTAGGGGTAGGCATGGCTTTTAGTGTTGGGCATGGGTTTTAAGGTTGGGCATGAAGTTTTAGGGTTGGGTATGGGTTTTTTGGGTTGGGTATGGGTTTTTTGAATTGGGCATGGGTTTTATGGGTTGGGCATGGGTTTTAAGGTTTGGCATGAGGTTTTAGGGTTGAGTATGGGTTTTTTAGGGTTGGGCATTGGTTTTTTGGGTTTTTAAGCCAAAATTACCCCCGCTTGGCACTGTTATCGCAAAAAATGTAAATTTAAAAAAAATTACCCCGCCCAAAAATGAAAATAATAAAAAAAAGTTGAAATTGAAAGTAAAATTTATAAGTAACAAAAAAATTTTTTCGCCCCCCCCCCTCCCTCCCCTCCTTTCTTCAAAAATCACCCCACCCAAAAAACAATTTACAAAAAAACGTTAAAAAAAACGGATTTATAATCAAAAAATTTATGTTGTCCTGTCCTCCCGACCATCACCAAAAAACTAAAAATTTCTCCAAAAATTACAAGTTTCCAAGTCAAAACGGCTTTATTTCATGGGGTCCATAACAGAATTAATGGTCGGGTCCAAAAGTACGGTTCGCTCATCCACGCCGTGCTTAATGTAGCAGACGATTGTTTGGAAGGTGCCCAAAAAGTCTTGGATTGCTTTCGAGGTTTCGGCGTCTGGATTCGTCTTTTCCAGCCAGCAGAGGAGGATTTTGAAGACGAACGCGTACTGTAGGTAGGTTTGGACGGCTTGGGCTCGTTTTTCTGAAAATTAAGGTAAATTACGGTATTAGGTTGAACCAAAAGTAGTGGGACACTTTTTAGTTGACAAATGAAAAGTGTCCCGCTACTTTTGGTTCAGCCTAATATAACATAGAGAAAACGACCGGTAAGTTTTGTAACAGAACTTGTGGCGCACCCTGTATAGTGGTTCATTTGGTCTGCCTGACTCTACAAATGATCCTACAGTACTCTAATTCCACTTAGGTACTACTGAACCCCTACGCTGATAATATACATGTATTAACCCTGCCGTAACCCAAAAACCCCCAACTTACCCCTCAAAGTCTTGACAATTTCCAGTACATTAGGTGTCTTATTTTGTAAAAAGCATTGGATTCCCATCTCGGCCGCCATAATCGTGCCAGTTCTTCCTATACCTGCCGAGCAATGAATCACAACCGACATATCCGATGGACAAGCCCTGGCCAGTTGGAGCAGTCTTAGTAGAACGTCGGCCGTGTCTGGTACACCACGATCCGGCCATAGCTTCCATTGATGGTGAAACATGTGATAACTTTGATCCTTCTTGGTGTCTTTTACTTGCAATACTGTGGTTATTGTACCTAAAATGAAGTTACCTTACTGTATATTACTGTATTGTACCGTAACGTAGCCTACCCTACCCTACCCTAACCAACCCTACCCTACCCTACTTTATTTTACTATAGCTTACCGTAACCTACTCTGCCCTACTGTTGCCTACTGTACTCTACTGTAGCCTACCGTACCCTACTCTACTGCGCCCTACACTACTCTGCCATGCTCTATCCCAACGTACTATTTATCTTTTTGCCTTGCCGTACTATTGTATACTCTAACATACTATTCTTAGCCCTAACGTAATGTCTCTCATCCTACAGTACTATTACCCTGCTGTCGTTTTCCTTTCCCGTGCTGTCTCTAACTTTTCCGTGCATTTTTAACTTCACAGTGTCACCTTTAACCTCATCGTGCTATCGCTTGTCCGACCGTACTACTGTCTACCTTACCCTTCTCTACCCTACTCTACTCTCCTCCCTCTTCTTACCCGGTTCATGAATGTATCGTCCCTTGTTTGTAACAGTAATGGCAGCATCAGTTAGTTTCATCACCTCCTCATCGAACAACGGCCAATATTGTAAGCATTTGGTCTTTTTGGCCTCCACCGTCTCACACAACATTATGATCTGTTGGACGTTTTCTTGTTTTACCATTCGCCAAAAGTCGGACACCGTATATGCTGTGGGGCCTTGAGTGCAGATAAAGTGTTGGTTTGAGTTTAACGGAGGGCCTCGAATGTGATTCGCATGAATATAGTCACCACAACACGTGTCTTGAAGGACTACTCGCTCGTTGTCACAGCATGGGACGTCTGAAAATGAAAAAATTTAAAAGTCAATACAAGACTGTACTAAATGAAATAAAATGGTGATGGATGACACTAAATAAAGTATAATTGGTAATATTATACTAATAAGAGTACGATGAATAATACTGTATTGCTGGATAGTCAAAAATGTATGATTTAACCTCACTTTTTTAGAAACAAAAATTTTGATCAAAAACTTCTACAGGGGTGACCAAGTTCAACTTTCTTTCCAAAATTTTTTTAAAAAATTTTTATTGCAAATCCCATCACATAGTACAGTGTTAGTCAAAAAACAATAAAAAAAATTTCAGCTAGTCAAAAAAAATTATTTAGTACATGTTTTCAAAAAAAAAATTACGTTCAACTTTTTTTTCCACAAAGTTTTTTTTAAATTTTTAATTGCGAATATTGTCACATGGTACAGTCTTAGTCACAAAACATTAAAAAATCACCAATTTATTATAAAAATGTTATATAGCACTAATTTTTAAAAATAACTTTTATCATCAAAAAATCCACAGGGGGGACCACGTTCAACTTTTTTTCCAGAAAGAAAAGTTGAAAAAACGTCAGTAAAAGTAGATTTTGTAAAACGACTTACCCCTGTATCTGTTTTTAGAAATATTTTTCGTAAAGGCTTTAGTGCTAAAGCCGGGGACGGCGTACTTCCTCAGCTCCGCTTGATATTCATCCACTGCACCTTTGGGCATTAATTTGGCTGCGTTCTGAAAAAAATACTTTATATTAGCCAAAGAAGCTCCAAATTCAATTTTTTTAAATGAAATTTAAATATTTTTAAAAATTTTCATTTCAAGATAAACAATTTTGCAAGATGCCCTACCAAAGCAAACTCCTTAGCGGCCGTTTTGATTTGCTCAAAGTCCATAACAGCCTGGCCTTCTTCGTACAACTTCTTGATTTCTCCAATATGTTCGGTAGCGGCGGTGGTACGTTCAGGCGGTGGAGTGCGAACCTCTTTCGGCACGATGATACGATTGCAGTTGGTATGAGGCGGTTCTTTGGGGTCTTCTTCGGATTTGGTCACGTCTTCTTCCTGAAACAATGATTTATAATCAGGGAGAGTACAGTATGGTAGGGTAGAGTGGAGAAGGGTAGGGTAGGGTAGAGTAGGGTAGGGTAGGATAGGGTAGTGTAGGGTAGGGTAGGGTAGGGTAGGTAGGGTAGGGTAGGGTAGAGTAGGATAGGGTAGGGTAGGACAGAGTAGGGTAGGTTATAGTCAAGGCACAGGCCAAGGTACGTCAACTTACTTCTTTATCCTTCTCCTTATCCTTCTCTTTCTCCTTCTCATTTTCCGTCTGAGCCGACTGCCTTCTCCTGGTCGTTTTGCCCTTTTTCTTCTTCACATTCTTCTTCTCGTTCCTCTCGCGATTCGAGTTCGATTCCCCATCGTCGTCCTTCTTCTTCAGACCGAAAAACGTCATGATTCCGGAGCCGGTTTTGCGCAGCTTCGAGCCGCTCGAAGTCCGACGCTTCGGCGATTTTCGTCCGCCCGACATTGCCAACCTCGATGAGCGGCCGCTTCGTACACAAGATTCTACACCAAATGGCGGAACGCAGAGAAAATGAAAAATTTGTACGTGTTTTTTGAAAAAAATTTAAATTTGGTAAAAATTTAAAAAAAAACCAAAATTTCAAAAAAAATTTAAATTTCAAAACTGAAGCTAAAAAATACGGGTGATTTCAACCCTGCCTTCACCCATACCCTTAATATACCTAATCTAATCAGATACTACGCATATCTTCACCCTTAGGCTAGTTAGACACGAGAAACGGAGTCGATCCTAAAAGTTAGGTCCAGCCCAAACAGAGGATCAAAATTTTGCTCAGGCCAGGCCCGACCTAAACGTGGGTCAGGCCCGGCTCGTTCCCAATGTCTAACTTTTAAGTACTCTCTACTACCCCCTTCTATCCCTTACTACACCTACTAGTGTCTACTACTCCCTACTACTTCATACTACCCTTTACTATCTCTTACCCCCTCCTCTTCCTATACAAAAAATAACCATACATCACATTTTTTATTCAAATTTTCAAAATTTTAAAAATTATGACGTATTTTTCCAAATGACAGTCTTAATAGAATGTGGTTTTACTGCCAATTTAATGATTTTACCATCTTTTCTTCTACAATCAATTCCAAGATTGTATGTAGTAGAATCATGTCGATTGAATACAACAAAAGCAATATTATTGTCTGGAGTTCTGGCAGCAACGCCAAGCACAGGACTATCTGGATTGTTCAGGCCGTCTAGGTCAGTATCTACTACGATGGAATCTGGTGGGAGGAATTTACTAAAATGAATTGTTTTTTAAATTTAAGGCTAGCTTAGAAGAAGGTAAAGATATTGTGATTACGGCAAGCTTACAGTAAGACTGAGGCTTTGGTAAAAAAGAAAGCTTAAAACAAGACTACCAATGCCTTTGAATACGGTAGGGCAAGCTGAATATGATATGGAACTGTAAGGTAGAGCAAGGTAGGATAGGCATGATAGGGTAGAGGTTAGGACGGAACTAGAGTTGGGGATAAAGATAGGGCTCGGGCTAAGGCTACTGTTAAGGTTATTGCTAAAGCTAGAGCTAAGCCTAAGACAGAGCTAAGGCCGGGGATAAAGCTAAGGCTAGGGCTCTGGGCTAGGACTCTGGGCTAGGGCTCTGGGCTTGGGTTCTGGGCTAGGGCTCTAGGCTGGAGCTCTGGGCTAGGGCTCTGGGCTAGGGCTCTGGGCTAGGGCTCTGGGTTAGGGCTCTGGGCTAGGGCTCTGGGTTAGGGCTCTGGGCTAGGGCTCTGGGCTAGGGCTCTGAGCTAGATATCTGGGATAGGACTCTGGGGTAGGGCTCGGGGCTGGATTGAAATAAAACCTTACCTAAAATGCCCAAGGATGTAAAACTGTGGTTGTTTGTAAAACTCTTTGCCAGTAGCGTTCACAGCTACTGAATTCCCAACAAAATTGCCAACATAGCTTGGCCCTCCTTGAATGTCAGTCCACAAGCTCCACTCCACCCATCCGCCAACATATCTTCTCAAGTTGTTGATAATGTCATCAGCATACAGCTCAGCATTCTCCCAGCTTCCAAATTCGTGGCCTAGACCTTCTACTGTAGCCTAAAATTTTTTTTCCAAAAATTAAAATTTTAAAAAAATGAAAAATTTTTTGAAATTTAAAAGTTTTTTAAAATTTCAAATTTCAAAATGAAAACCTACTTCAGTAGCCCATATAAACTTGTCAGGCCTCAACTCATGAGTTTGTTCCAGCTTCTCCCATTCGCCTTTAGAGTACCAATGAACGCCCAGACCATCGATTAATGTGTTTTTATCTTGGTATATCTAAAATGGCAAAAAAAAATTCAATTTTTATATTACCATACTCAAAATATTTTTTATTTTATAAAATTTCAAAAAAAAATTTTTTTAAAAACAAATCTTACAGTTTTGGCATAGTCGTATATCAAACTCCGGTCCCAATCGTGTGCAATCATGGTGACATTTCTTGTGATCCAATTGTGTTTTAAAATTGGGCCTAGTTTCTCCTTTACAAAGTCTCTAAAATATTAGATTCAAAAAAAAGATGCCATACCCTACCCTACCCTACCCAACCCTACCCTACCCTACCCTACCCTACCCTACCCTATCCTACCATAATCTACCTTCCCCTACTTTGCCCTACCCTATCCTACCATAATCTACCTTACCCAACCTCCCCAAGCCTTACCCTTCAGAAGCGGTACCCTCCACAAGCTCCACCTTACCTTAGCCTTACCGTGCCAAAGCTTTACCCTGTTCATGTTTTACTTTGTCCAAAACTTAATCCGCTCAAGCTGTACCCTACCCAAGCTTTACCATGCTTAAGTTTTACCCTGCCAAAGATTTACCTTACCCTGCCCTAAGCTACCCAACCTTACCATGTCTTATCCTATTCTTCCCTGCCTACTTTTCACCACTTTCCAAATTTTGCTCTACTCTATTCTACACTATCTTACCCAACCTAAAGCTATCCTATCATATTCTTTACATTTACCCTACCCATGCTCTAGTTTACCTAAACGTTTCCTCTACTAAGCTTTACCCTAAATGTACGTTTAAAAAAAGTAAAATGAAGCTTAAATTACCGTTGATATTCTGGAGACAAGTAAGTTCCAGGCCAAATTCTGTAGACATTTCCAGGTTCATTCATAATAGTCAGACCCCAAAACGGCACTCCTAGATTAAAGTAGCCTTCTAGAAATCTAAAACAAGGTAAAATACGACCTTTGCAATTAATTTTGAAATAAAATGCAATTTTTAAACATTTTTTATTATAAAAATGTCAAAAAAAGCCTTGTCGTTTCTTCACGTTACAGCCTGTGGTAATTGACGACAAGACTTTTTTTTTGACTCAAACTACATTTTTTTCAAAAAAAAATTAAAAACAGTCTTCAAGTTCATTTTCAAAAATTTTTTTATCCCCCCCCCCACCCTAAAAAAATTTTTTTTACCCCTGGCAAAAAAATATCGCCTAAAAATACTTACTTTTCCAAATACTTGGCATAGACAACATAATGATGTTTGTTCAAAGGACCAATAATACTCCCACAGCCAGTCAGTTTCCCTGTATCCTTTAGCCAAGCTGGTACACTCCAAGCTGACCCAAACAACTTGATCTTGTTGTTGATGCCATAAATCTTCTTAATAATGTCCTTCTTTGGATCTTTGTCCATTGAAAACGTTTTTAACTCATAGTCTTCCGGAGTGTCCAAGTAGGTCCATTCTTGGATTGACGCATCGTTCGTACCTATTGGTACTCGACTGGCTGAATATTCAATACCTAAAAAGTAGGGCAAAAGTAAGGTCGAATAGAGTAGGGTAGGGTAGCATAGAGTAAGGTAGAGCAGGAAACCTCTTCGTAATGTAAAATATCGTTATGTAACGCCTTTTAAAAAGTTTTATCGTTTCCACCCCTGCAAACCAATAAAAATAAGCGACAAGACTTTTCTAACGCCACAATGACCTGCCCTTTCATAAAAAAAACTATTTTTACTGCCAAGGAGACATTCTTTTTGATAGATATGGTAAATAAAAGCAACCCGCCTCTCTTTGAATAATATTGATCAAGAAGTTGTTGTTCAAGTTCATCAGTTTTGGCATAAACAACAGCATCATTAATACATCCACCGAACCCAATGATCTTCTGACGTTCTTTACTTGGATCTATCGTTACTTTTATCAGCTTTTCTGTAATAAAAAATGGTTTGAAATGGTCTAAAATATTTAAAAAATAATTCAAAATCCCAAAACTTTTCACTTTTTTAAGCGAAAATGTTAACTTTGTTACCTAAATTATTAAAAAATGCCATTTTAAAATAAGACAAAGCTTGTAGATTAAGTAAGTAGATAAAAAGACTATAATAACTTAAGTTTTAGGCGTGTTTTTTAGTTTAGAACAAAGTTATGACCGATTGAAAATGTAAAAAATGAAAAAAAGTTCGAATCCGCTTGGAAACTTGGATCTCTTTCTGTCTTTGACTGGTCGTAACTTTTGAATCAAACAAAACATTTAGACAAAACTTAAGGATAACATAGACCATTTTATGCCCTACAAAACCTATAATATTACTTTTCAAAAAACTTTGCTTTAAACCCAAAAAAAAATTTTAGGTAACAACATGACCAAACATTTCAGAAAAAATAAAAAATATTTTTAAAAGAATTAAAAACCCACCTCCAGGTTCTTCAAATTTACTTTCAGTTCTGGTTAATCTATCCCTCTTCATGTCGGTGCTGTATATGGCCACCTGATCATCTTTAATTTGGCCGACTTCTTCGATTTCATCGCAATATGTTGAGTTACACACACAGACAAACGATTCTCGCCAGTAGAAGCGCTTTACACAGCCTTTTGACCAAACATGAGTTATAGTGATTAGGAACAAAAGTAGAAACAATTTTTTCATTTTATAAATTTAATTTTGAAAAAAAAAATTTTTAATAAATTTTTAAAAAAATTTTAATTTTAAAATTTTAAAATTTAAAAAATTCTTCAAAAAATGCCAATATTTATATGACAAGTCCAACAAATTGCTCAAAGTAATTACAAGTTACAGTTTATCAGTAAACTCCCAGGCGGTCTTTGTTTATTTGGCAAAATAAATAATTATTATGTTAACATTGGCCACAGAGTATAAAATAATATTTATAATATGATTTGTTTACAAACAATTTTTTTCAACTTTAAAATTTATAAAAAAAAGACAATCGTGCAAAAATTTTTCATGATTTAAAATTTTTTTCCAAAAATTTATAAAAAAACCCCGTTTAAGTTACTTTAGACCTGTAAAGGGTCCAGCCGACCCTGATTTCTCGGCGTAGCTTTTGGCAAGTCAAATCTTTCGTTGTGAGACCTAAGCTGGGTCCCTGGAACCTTAGTTTGGGCTTCAACCCTTGGGCTCACATGTGCCGCCGAGCCTTTTTCAAGTTTCTCTAGGCTTAGTTGGTTTCCTTTAAGGTCTAATTCAAGTTCTTTAAAAAAAAATTTGAAAACCGCACCTCTTTTTCTTGCCTCTTCCCCATGTGGACTCCAAAAAGGGGCCCATTAGTCCTAGGGGTGAGAAACGGGCCGTTCCTAAACTTTTGGTTTAAAAGTGGGCCCGGCCCGTTTCTCTCCTCTAATTAGCTCCGGTCCGAGCCAAAACAAGAAAAAAGCAGGGCCGGATCATGAAGGTCAAGCCTAATTGAAAACTTCAGGGGTTCAGTTAGGCCCTGCGACGAAAGATTTGACTTGCAAAAAGTGAACATTAAATCTGATGTTAAACTTATTTACATATAAAATATTATTTAAATAGCTTATTTTAATATGAAATTGTTGAATTGTTGGTTATTTAGGGCTCTGAAGCATATTTTTTGGACCGGGCAAGCCGTAAATTGAGCCGGACCGGCTTTTTAACTGGTCTACTTTTTAAAAGGTTTATTTAAAAAAGAAAGTCTTATTAAAAAAATATTCTTCTTGCGCGTTGCCTAAATATGACCTTCGAAGCACTTGTTTAGTAACTGCCACTTTGTAAGGTATTATGCAAATGCCGTTTTGAGATCATTATCTAGCGTATGTTTCACATGTTGTTGTGTATTCGGCTTGTTTTTGAAAGTTTGGCGTTATTATTCGACATTTTTCGATAAGTAAACAAGAAAAGTTATATTGTTGTATATCTGTGTTATTCTTTAGCTGATACTCTAAAGCTTGTACCTTACTGTACGATTCTAATACTCTAAAGCTTGGTAATTACAGTACGGTTCTGATACTCTAAAGCTTTGTAATTACAGTACGGTTCTGATGCTCTAAAGCTTGGACACTACAGTACTGTATTAGAAGTTTGTACTTTGCATACTAGATAGACGCATCGGGCTTTACCCTAGCCTTATCATTCTGACCTAACCCCAGTCTCATATAAAGCTTAACCAATGTCCTAATGGCTACAATACAACTACATGTAGTACTGACACTAATTTCCTTATGTCTAACAACATACACCTTTGGACTACCATGTATGAAACGATTTTATTGGAAAGAGTCTTTCGTTTGTGTATGTAACAGCAGCTATTGTGATGATGTGAATGAGCTCGGAGTTACTACACATGGCAAAGCAATCATCTACACTAGCGACATGAAACACGATCGTTTGGAAAGAACTGAAGCTCATTTTAAAGAGCCTGTGGGTAAGTTATAGGGCTAGGGTAGGGCTAAGTTTCTCGAGCTAAATCTCTCGGGCTAGGGCTCTTGGGCTAAGGCTCCAAGCTAGGGCTTTAAGCTGGGGCTAGACAAGTAACTGAAAACCTCAAACGCATTTTTTAGAAAAGTTGGTTGAAATTACGATAGACGCTAGCAAAAAACGACAAAGTATCATCGGGTTTGGTGGCTGTATAAACGACAATGTTGCAATTCTTACACAAAATGACGACACAAAGGGAAAAGAGAGAAGAAAGAAATTACTCAATCAATATTTTTCAAAATCAGGTAAAATACCCTACCCTACCCTACCTTAAAAATATAAACTTTGTTAAAAGTTTTTAGGCATCGAGTACTCAGTAGGTCGAGTACCAATCGGCGCAAACGACGCATCTGTTAAAGAATGGTCTTTCTTGAACCACCCAGACGACTACGAATTAGAACATTTTTACACACTTGATGAAAATAAGATTGGGTTAATAAAAGAAATCTTTGCAATAAGCAACAAAATCAAGCTGTTTGGCTCAGCGTGGAGTGTACCAGCTTGGATGAAAGATACTGGAGTGATGAAAGGAACAGGCAGAATTAAGGGCACTTTCAACAGAGAGTACTATGTTTTGTATGCAAAGTACTTGATTGAGTAAGTTTGATGCAATTTATAATGAACTAATGATTTTCAGTTCAAAATTAAATTTTAGGTAAAAATCCATTTTAGGAATAAAAACCAACCTTAGGGTTAGAAAATAAATTTTAGGCTTAGAAATGAATTTTAGGCTTAGAAATGAATTTTAGGCTTAGAAATGAATTTTAGGCTTAGAAATGAATTTTAAGCTTAAAAATGAATTTTAGGCTTAAAAATGAATTTTAGGCTTAAAAATGGAATTTTAGGCTTAAAACTCAAGATATTAGCTCCTAAATTAACTTAAGGCTTCAAAATCAAATTTTAGGCTTAAAACTGAATTTTTAGAATAAAAAGTGAAATTTAGGCTTAAAAATGAATTTTAGGCTTGAAAAGCAAACTTTAGGCTTTAAACGAATATTAGGCTTACATATAAATTTTAGGCTTAAAAATGAATTTTAGGCTTAAAACTCAAGATATTGGCTCTTAAATTAACTTTAGGCTTTAAAATCAAATTTTAGGCTTAAAACTGAATTTTAAGTTTAAAAAATAAATCTTAGGCTTAGAAATGCATTTTAGGTTTGAAAAACAATTTAAGTCTACAAATATAATCTACTAATCAAGTCCGAACCAATAAAAAAAATTTAACTTAAAATTACTTCAGATTCATTAAAGTTTTCAAAGAGAGCGGCGTCGACTTTTGGGGATTGACAATCATGAATGAACCTGGAAACCAAACACGTACATGGCCTGGGACTTATATCACCTATGCTGAGCAGAGGTTTGTTTTTACTTTTCATACTCATGCGTCTACAATTACAACTCGGGAGATATAGATTAGATTAGTAGTTTGATGCCGTAGATCGTAACGTACTGGGCTGATGTGCAAGGATGTTCAAGGTACAGATGAAGACCAACGGAGCTATCCTTAAGTCTGACATTTCCCATGGTTGGGCCGCTCCACAGGTATTTCACTGTTCCTCGTGTCACTGAGTCGTGGGTGAGGTGCTCCATAAGACTTTTGGCGTTCAATCATATACTCCTGTAGGCCAAGTATAGATGTGCCTAGTCCCCGTGCACTCAGTTCTACCCACTTCACAAGGCGCCTGGGTTGGACGGCGCGCGGGATCGAACCAACGTCCTTCCGAATAGCGAGTGGCGTCACTACCACTGCGCTACGAACGCACCTAGATGATTTTTGAAAACGAAAGTTTTAATTTGGAATCCTTGCTACTTTCAGAGACTTTGTCAAAGAACGCCTCGGCCCAATGATGAAGCACACATGGTACACGAAAGATGTCAAAATTATAGCCCATGATTGGCATCGTGATCGGATATTTGATGCTGCAATGACGGTAGGCTACTTAATGTAGTAACTCTTCTGATAAAAAAAATTTTTGCAGACTTTGGTGATGAGCTAGAATCTAAAAAAGTGCTAAAACTTTTATTGTATAAAACTAACACATAATAAAATAAAATTGCAGATATATCAAGACAATGACACTATGATAGACGGTCTCGGGGTTCATTGGTATGTCCCAGGAAATTGGGACAAGTTGGTGAAAACGTATAATTTGAGGCAGGACAAGTTCATATTGGCTACTGAAGTAAGTTAAAAAAAACGCAAAGGAGGGTAGGGTAGATTGTAATGAGCCTGCTTCCTGTAAGGCTGGTTATGATACTTTAAGATTAGGTAAAGTACTGTAGGGCAGGTGTAACACTGATATTGTAGGAAAGCGTAGAGTAGGGTAGGGTAGGGTAGGGTAGGGTAGAGTAGAGTAAAACGTAAAAACTCTTTCGAAACAAGAATAAATACAGTATCTTTAGGCCACAATTGGAGGCCTTGGTCATGAATACGGTAACTGGCAAAGTGCGGAAATGTATGCTTATGACATAATCAAAAACTTACAAAACTATGTTGGTGGCTGGATTGAATGGAGCTTGTGGACTGACACACACGGTGGCCCAAGTTATGTTGGCAACTTTGTTGGCTCATCTATCATTCTTAATCGCACTTACGGTTACTACGACAGTTATGAATTTTACAAACAGCCTCAATTCTACGCTATCGGACATTTCAGTAAATTTTTACCACCAGATTCAGTTATCGTATCTTCTGGTTTCGACACTTTTGATGGCAATTCGAACCTTCAAGGAATTGCGGCCGAAACTCCGGCTGGTAATCTTGTAGTTGTTATTCTGAACAGAGACAAGAGAAATGTCTACAACTTGGGAATTAACGATGGCAGAGAGAATAAGAAGATTCTTAAGGTGACGATGAAGCCACATAGCATTCGAACTATCATTTGGAAAAAGCATAACAACAAAATTGAACTTTAACAATATTGTATATTAATTAATATTTCAATTCAAATAGTTTACTTTGTCATAAAATTGTTAAAGAGTAGAAAGATACAGTACAATAAGAGAATATATAATTCGCTGGTACATAAGTTTAAACTTATACTTAAGAAAAAGAAAAAAAAGACATACAAAACAATATATTAATATAAAATCTTTTAATTCGCTCGTACATAAGTTTGTATTTGTAAATAAAAAAAATTTTTACATGTTAAAACAAAGTTCGCCTAAGAATCGAACATCGGTCAGACAGGGGCGATGAAAAATTTCACACTATTTTAAAACCGCTCATCAAACCGGCGGACGCCTCCGCCGAACGGTCGATAATCGGCGGACGCCATAACTTGGTTAGTTTAGCAGCTAGAAACATGTAGTTCAATTCAGAAGTTATTATATGTCATACGCTACAAGTAAAAGCATAGTTTTAAGATTTTAAAAGTAGTATGGTTATCGACCGGTTGATAATTTTTAGTATATTTTAATTGCAAATTCTATATATATTCTTATAGCTCTGTTGTTCTAAATTGTATAGAAATTGCATTAAGTACAATTCTAAGCAAAAAACTTTGTTTTTTGTAAAAATTAAACATTTGTAAATTATCGACCGGTCGATAACAATATTGTTTTCAAAAACATAAATTTCTGACTTAATGTGTAGGTTATGACAGATAACAACTTCTGCACTTAACTACATTTTTCTAGCTGCTAAACTAACCAATTTATGACGTCCGCCGATTATCGACCACTCGGCGAAGGCGTCCGCCAAAATATACCCAAATGCCCTGTAAATACCCTGTAAATGCCCTGATGCCCTGCAGGGCAAGGGCAGGGCAGGGCAGAGCAGGGCATAAAAGCCCAATGCCCTTTACAGGGCAGGGCATTGCAGGGCACAGGGCAGGGCATGGAAATTTGCCAATCTACGGAACGCAATTCAGAGTATATGTCAAAAATAGTCCCGAAATGACATTTTTAATGAGATATACGGCTTGGGCAACCGTTATATACTCTAGGCATAACTATTTAAACTTATTGATTTTTGTGGCATTCCGTTCACAAATTATCCTCCTTTTCGACAAATATCCGGAATTTCCAAATAAATTGGTATATTACTTGAATTGCTAAAAAGGTAAGTTATTTTATTATTTTTACAAAAAAATATTGATTTTGTTACCTATTTTTTGTTTTTTTATATTATTTTTACAGGAAGATGGGGAAGTTTGGCGAAACCGATGAAATTTGATTGATTTTTAAAGTTTATCATGTTATACTTGAAAAATAATAAGGTTTTGAAGTTAACTTGGGTTGAAATTGGATAAAAAAGATTTAGGGGGATATTTTAAATGTATTTTAGCAAGTTTAAGTCTAATTGGATCTTCATTTTGATCAAAAACACGATCAACGCCAAGTGTAATATAATTTTTTAAAGTTTATAATGTTAGACTTGAAAAGTTACGCGGTTCTGAAGAAAATTTGAATTAAAATTAGGTGAATAATATTATGAGGCATGTTTTAAAACTTATCTTAGGCAATTAAAGCGTATTAGGACGTTTGTTTTGATCAAAAACGCGATCAGGTCAAGTGTAATAGCTGATTGAAAATGGTAAAATCGTTATACCAAGGATAAAGGAGCATTTTAGGACAATGTTAATGCTATAAAGTGGATGAAAAATCTGGTGATTGGAGGTCTGGCCGATATTAAGGTAGGTGCTTGATCTTTTGAAGGTTTTTTATAAAATATCAGCTTGATTTTGTTTTTTTTGTTTTTAAAGTTAAAAAAAGATATTGTTCTTGATACTATTAATAACTTTGGGATTTATTTCACATATTTTAGTTTTCAAAGAATTAAAAGTGTAGGTAACAATACCTAATTTTGGACGGATTTTGATGTTTAACTTATTAGATTTGAAATATTATATGGTTCCGAAGCTGGTTTGGATTGAAATTAGATAAATAGTGTTGTTGGGCATGTCTTACGATGTATTTTACTTAGTTGAAGTTGTTTGAATGTTTATTTTGATAAAAAAACGCTATTAGATCAAGTGTAATATAACTTTCTTTTAATTTTAGAAGCCAACGCCAAGAATTGATGGAACTAGAATTAGACATGAGCAACGGGCCAGGCCCAATATTTCAGCCCGGCCCGTTTCTGATTTTGGTCAGGCCCAGCCCGATTAGAAAACTTCTAGGACCGGCCCGTTTTAAAAATTTTAAAAATAAACGGAAATTTGGCTTTACATTGTTTTTTCAGATCATTATAAATCGTAGTGCCTAATAAAATCGAAAACATCAATGGGGATTGAAATAAAAACCCTATCTATCACGCGCGGCCCGTTTTTGATTTTGGCTTGGCCCGTTGCTCATGTCTAACTGGAACGAGCTGATTGAAACTGGTTGTAAGGCGACTACAGAACGAAATTCAAGGTAAATTTTAAACTTTTAAAGATTTTTAACTTCAAATTAATAAGAGCACATACAACTGGATAAGGTAGCGTAGTTTGGTGAAGGATATAATAGGGTAGGGTAAAATATTGTAGTTTATGATAAGGTAGAGTACGATCTTGGCCGGGTAGTGCAGAGTTGACTGTATTAATGTGACATAAATATGGACATTGTTTTCAAAAATTTTGTGGGGTAGGACAATGTGTAAAAAACTAATTTAATGTTAAAAAGCGTCAAATGTAATTAGTATACAAAGTATTTGAAAAACCTTTATATACTATGAATTTCGCATTTTAATTTGTCATCTCATAAAATGAAAATGTTTCCATAAACGATTTCCCCCATTTCCCAAAATTATTCGTGTTTAACATAACTTTCTCGATCAGTGCATCCGAACTGGTATAATTGGGTGAAACATTTTGATATGATTAATCGTTACATAGATTAATATTATTATGGGCCGTTCGTATATGAGTATAGGTATAAAGTTTGCAAGATTCAAATGTCATTACATTTTTGAAATGGTTAGGGTAAGGTCGGGTTATGAAAGGTTATAAGGTAGGGTATGGGAGGATAGAGTATGGTTAGGGTGCTATATGGCAGGGTAGAGGAAGATACATAATTTGATGGTAAAGTAAGGTACAGTAGGGTGGTATAAGGTAAGGTACGTTAGGGTTACACATGGCAGCGTATATTTTCTCCCAAAAAGTTTTTACTAGAGAATCAAATTTGTATTGGGTATAGTGAGATTTACGACTATGAGAATGGTTTTTTTTTGGTTAGCGATCTCTTTTATTCATAATAAGTTTTTTCAAGGCCGCGGTTTTTGCCTCTGCCTTTTATGATTTTTTGGATCGAACTTGGCTTGTTTTATTGGTTTTTAAATTAAGCCTTGAATGTTAGGCTTGGAAACTAGGCTTACTTAAAGGCTTATTAGAATCAAGTGAATCGGTGGGTTTATTAAGTTTAGGCTTAGGAAGCTTAGATCTAAACATAGGAGGCGTAGGCTTGGTAGGCTTAGGCTTAGTAGGATTAGGCTTAGTAGGCTTGGGTTTAGTAGGTTTAGGAGCCTTAATGGGCTTTAGTCTAGTAGTCTTATGATTCGTAGCCTCAGGCTTGGTACTATTAACTTCATTTGTAATAGGCTTTTCTTTATAATGTCGAATACAACTTCATGTAAGGTTAAGTTGGGAACGCTTGACTTATTACCAATTTTGATCATTTGTTTTTTTGAATTTTAACGATTTTGCGAGGCGCTTTTTGGGTTAATGCTGTTAAATGTCGGCTATCTTAAAACGGTGTTTTGTATAAATACAAAAGAAATGACTGGTAGTGACAAGTTAATTTATTCGCTTCTATTGAAAGTTTTGTTATGTTGCGTGTTGTTAAGATTTCGCATCTGTGTTAGAAGATTTGGTTTAGAAACGACTTTTTTTAAACTGTAGGCTTAGAGAATGAACTTAGTCTTAAATATGTGTTCTTTTAACTTAAAAATGAAATGTTAGTCTTAAAATGAAATTTTAGGCTTAAAAATAAAATTTCAGGCTGAAAAAGGAAATTTCAGGCTTAGAAATGAAGTTTTAGGCTTAAGATAAAATTTTAGACTTAAAAATGAAATTTTAGGCTTAAAAATGAAATTTTAGGCTTAAACTGGAATTTAAGCCATAGAAATTAGTTTTAGGCTTAGTATTAAAATTTTAGACTTACAAAGGAAACTTTAGGGTTAAAATGAAAATCTGCCATAACTTTCTCCACATATAACAGTAACCCACAATTTGTACCATCCACAACCGCCTTCCTAATATTATCCTTGTTTTTCACTTTATTCTTTGATCGCGATTCCAATAAGCGTAATACCGAGAAAAAACGTTGTCAATCCGGCTTGAGTAATATTATGGGGGGGGTTCATTCAAGGATCTAATGATGAAAAAGAGCTGCGCAAAGACGCCGTCATCAAAACTTATGACTTTCGATTTTCTCAAAAACGGCGGTGTGAAAACCACAAATGTTTTCTTAGTAAATTTAACTGGTTGGGGGGGGAGGGGGGGTTATTTTTTTTTGGGGGGGGAGATTTTTATGAACATGTAGGCTTAAGAATTAAATTTTAGGCTTAATAAAGCGATTATAGGTTCAAGGGGAAATTTTAGGCTTAAAAAACGACTTTTAGGCTTAAAAATAAGATTATAAGCTTAAAATCAAAGTTTAGCCTAAAAAGGAAATTTTTAGCCACTTTAGGCTTAGAAATTAAGTTTAAACTTAAAAAGGAACTTTTAGGCTTCTAAATTAAATTTTAGGCTTTAAAAGCAAATTTGAGACTTAAAATCAAATTTTAGGCTAAAAAAGTTTTGTTTTTTCAGTAAATTTTATGACGCCTATAACAATAACAAGCTACTGAGCTTTCTCTCTCCTCTGTTCATATTTCTTGAAAAGCGTTTACTGTTCCTTGGAGAAACATAAAAAGTGGAAAAGTCTTTGATTCTGGTCTTTCAAGTTACCTATGAACAATAAAATCAAAAAAAAATATTTCAAAAAACAAATAA